ATACACACAATAAAACCACCCTCTCGTAAACTTTATAGACTATAGTGTATATTAAGAAAACCAAATAATTGAGGAAAGAAAATCAGACCAGACTGATTCAAATCTTCAGAATGAGAGCGGGTCGGACTTTGGCCCGCTCGACGAAGACCATCAATGGTGTGTTGTTGGTGATGGGGTTGCTGCTGACATGCACAACCGGTGATCGGATAAAGGTGGGAGGCAACGCGGGTTGGGCTCCCAACGTCATGAACTATACCCAATGGGCTGCCCAACAACATTTTTATGTCAGCGACTGGCTATGTAATTTTCCCTATTCTCGGTCATTTTTCTTAAAATATTATTATAAAAAATTCACGAATAAAAATGTGATTTTTCACATGAGTAAGTTTTATAGTCATTATTAATATGTAATGTATGCATACGATTATAGTAACCACATTTAATAGAGTCACATTTTGTCCAATAATTTCTTTTTTTATCACTAGTAGTTTTTTCAAACATGTAAACTATCTCTTGAAAAGTCACCTATGGAAACTCCCCATCTCTCACGTTAAGTTTCCCTGTCTCGAAAACTCGATAGTTTATCATAAATTCGGAGACATTTCCATAATCAAGAAGAATTGAGAACCACGTTTTTTTATCTCTTAAATAAATACTACTTTGGAAATTTTGAGTTTTTTGTAGAAGTAACTTATTACTTTATTTTTGTTATTAAAGAGTGCATAATTCAGTGTGCAAAATTAAAAAAAAAATGATCATTTTCAAAATGGTACTTGTACACGTCTGCTTACAAGTAAAGTGTTTTTTACTTGTAAATTAAAGGGAAATATTTGCAACCCTGAAAAAGTGAATTGTTTGTGGCGTAGAAAATAATTTTTCAAGACCACAGACAGTTGTCTTTACGAAGACGAAAAAATATTGCTTGTACACACAAAAAACTATTACGAGTACTAATTCTAATATTGTATCAAATTTCGTGTTCGATGAGCACTACTACAATGTGTTGGAAGTGAACGAGACGAATTACGAGACATGCAACGACAAGGAGTTCGTGACAAACATCACGAGAGGCGGGCGGGACGTGTTTCTGCTGAAGGAGGCGCGGCCTTATTACTTCATCAGCGGCGGAGGTTACTGTTGGAATAAATTGAAAATGGCTATCAGTGTCGAACCACGGCCGCTTGCTCCTCCCCCGCTGCCGCCTGCCGCTCAATCCATAAATGGTTCGCCGTCGCCAATGCCGCCTTCTAAACTGATCATTGTCGTCTTCCTTGTTATGATTGTTGTTGCTTTCTCTACATTTATGTTCTGTTGAGCATCGTTGTTAGATTGTAGCCTTAGGACTTAAATGGTAGTACTATATAACTATTAGTGCCAAATACCGATGCATTCCAATACTTCAACTATTGAATGAACCAAATTGATACTCCCTCCGTCCCCTTTTAAATGTTCCATTTTACCATATTGGGTTGTCCCTATTTAATTGTCTCATACCTTATGTGGTAAAGTTTGTGTGGCTCAAAATCATTCTTACTTTATTGGGATGTCCCTATTTAATTGTCTCTATTCCCCGTTCCATAAAAGTTGCAACAGTTTAACTTTCATATTTGTCAACACACAACTTTGACTGTAATTATACTTATTTACGTATTAGTAAACATTAAAAAAAAGTTAATATATTGGAAATTTACATTAATACAAATTTATTAATATTTTATACATAATATTTTTATTATATATATTATTAGAAAATCGTAGTCAAAGTAAGGTGTATGAATAGTGCAGAAATTCCAATGTTGCAACTTTTATTGAACGGAGGAAGTATCTTAAATGCATTTAAATGTTTCATAATTTTATCATGTTAGAATGTCAGTCAAAACAATTATACTTGGAAATTTGAATTTCACGAAAATTTGAAAATAATTATTATGGGCAATTAATTACTTTACCAATTTATTAATCACAAGTCAATTGCGATTTTGATATATGCAAAGTATGAATTAAGTAATTCATTTTTATATACAAGTCAATATATATTTGTAATGAAAGTAAATACAGCTCGAAGTGTTATGCCTAATCAATGTTTGATTTAGATTTTATGAATTTGAAGTTCGATTTTAGTATTTTTAGCTTAACTCGTCAAATTGTCATACCAAATGTTTTTTTAAGAAATTGCCATACCAAATGAGGTATGCCAGAACTCAAATTTATTATCGTTTAAAATTCTATAATAATGAAACACTCATTATAAAGTATTTTAAAAATGTTTTAATGAAACATTCTATAAAAAAATAAGGTTTAGTTTGCGGGAACTCAAATGTAACTCATGTTTAATGAAAAAAGAAGTCTAATTGTCCAATTATTTTACATAAATAGTGCATATGTTTTGTTTTTAATATTAGGTTCATTAAAAATGATTTTCTTAATATTAGGTTCATTAAAAATCAATTTTGATTGAATATCAGAGGTTTATTTTGTTGTGTAACTCGCATTGTTTTGTGATGTAACTCGCAGTATGTCAAATGTAAATCAAGTGTAATCAAGATGTAACTTATTGAGAAAAATTGAAATTTAAATCGTGTGTTACAAAATATAACTTTAGCCAAAATGAAATGTAATTCTAGTGTATGTGAAATGTATCTCTTTTTTTCTTTCTATCCCCTGATTCTAAGAGGAAGTTTTATGAAGCTTATAAATCAATAAATAATAACAACAATTACAACAAATTAAGGACGGTTGGAGTCCCCAACAACAAAATATTCTCCAAGCAATAGAGAATTCATGAAATAGGTAGAAGAAGCCGGAATGATGATGTTCCCTATGCGTTCTTATCCCTCCGTCCTTCTTCAAATAACAAAAATTATTGATAACATCGAACAAGTAAAGGAACGGGCTCCACCATATACATCGAATAAGGAGTAATTGTTTTCCATCGATGCTCTGCTATTGCTAATTTGGCCGATTCAATTCTCTTTGTCTCACAAACGGAAGCCGGCGATAGGAAGAGAACGAAGAGAAAAGGAAGAGAAGGGAGAAAACAAATAGAAGCAGAGCCGCAGCAGCCAGAGAATAATGAACCTAAACTAAACAAAAACGACACCGTTTGAGAGCAGAAGCATGATGCTCACCGTGGGATGATCCCACGGTATAATTTGCGCTAAAAAATAAGGTTTAGTTTGCGGGAACTCAAATTTATTATCGTTTAGTATTTTTAACCACAAAGCATTCCTATTTTTTTTCTCATTCTGGGCAATTACGATTTCGTAGAACACATATGCGATACATACGTAAAGCGAGCAATCTCAGCCAGCAGCTCTCGTAGCTCAGTTGGTTAGAGCACCCGTTTAGTAAGCGGGAGGTCTTGAGTTCGACTCTCAACGAGAGCAGATTCGTTATTTTTTTGTTACTTTTTCGCTCGTTGAATTCCGTATTACGCGCATCGCTCTAGATGTCCTTTTGGGATGGGAGCGGCATTAAGCCTTAAGAAGTGGAAGAGTCGGGGATTACTTTTCAAATTTTCATAAATCAACACATTATTACTCCCATTAAGTCAATTCATTCAAAATATATATTTGATGTGAACTGTATGTATAATAAATTAATAATCCATCACTTCAAGGCTATGGGTATGTTTGGCAAATGGCTTATCAGCCAGCTTTTAGCTTGTTTGACCCATTTCAATTGTTTGATTAGTCAAAGAAGCTAATAATGATGTTTGGTAAATGGCTTTTAAAATTAGCTTGTTGAGTTTGAAAAGCTGAAAAAATGGATTGTGGAAGAAGCTAAGGGGAGCAGCTTCTTCATTTGGCTGGTTCAATTTACACTCTATCAGCCATTTCGAAAGAGCCAATTTTACCAAACAGTTATTTATAATCAGCCAACATAACCAGTCGGTCAAAACAGCTAACACAACCAGCTGTTGCGAAACAGCTGACACAACCAGCTACCAGCAACAGCTAACAACCATTTACCAAACAAGGTCTATATAGTTAGCAATTTCTTTATTATTTATTAGAGCTATCACTCATCTTAATTTTATTATTATTATTATTATTATTATTATTATTATTATTATTATTATTATTATACGGAGTATTTATTTATATTTATTATTATTAGTATTATTATTGCAACTCATTTCCCTCACTCCTGATCTTGAAAAAAATGGTGCTTGACAAAATAATTTAGAGTTATAGGGTCAAACCCCAACTTGTTCGAACTATAAGCTTTATATTTATGGAACCAGTTTTGTTACTTTAGTACTGGGAGTTGGGATGTCTATGACAGCATATAGCAAAGAGACACCCATCAACATAATATGTTCCTCTGTTATGCACTTCTAGAGCACGTACCAAGGGGGCGTGTTACGTGTAGGAGGGTCATGCTATGTCTCGGTTCACTCGAAGTTGCAAAACTCATTTTATATTGATGTACAAAATTTAAAGTAAGAATGTATCCAAAATTATTTGTACCTATCAAGTCCAATTTATACGCTGAATGCGCAACTGGCATGTACTATGATTACTTTATATGTGTGTTATAAAAGAACTTTCATTGCAAGTGTTGTAAATCAGTACACATAATTTTTCCCTTTTTGTAAACTCTAAACAAAGAACTTAGAGTACTCACACTCTATTAACCTAAGAACACAACTTCTTATATCAGTGTATATAAGGGTAGGGAAGGATGTCTTGTACAGATAACAGATTTACAATACTATTTGGCACAAGGTATACAGTGGCAGTGCTTTTATATGTACAAAGCTGACATTTCATCCCTTTTATTACTTCATGCAACCCAAATCAAGTTGTCACATTGATTTTCACAGTTTTCGATCCGGATCTTTGACCGTTTTATTAATTTAATACGGAGTATATTTTTGAATAGTTAGCGGTCAATGTTAACAAAATTTGACTTCAAAAGTCAAAGTGGGAATTTCACTTTGTGCCTAGATGGAATATATTCATTCCCACCATGAGATATATACTATTGTAGGCTAAACAACTTGCAATGGATGCTCTACTCTACGAAAGGGTCATCCCCAAGCTCCTTAAGTGTTGGGATTTGGCCGTGGTCAACAAAATCAATCTTGTTTAGCCTGAGACAGCAAAGGACTTCCTCAGGCAACTCCTCTGACTTCTGTGCCTGTTTATCCCAAAAAAACAAAAACAATGTATCATGAGATTCACTAAAAAATGAAGTGCAATATGAAAAAAAGCATACAAGAACAATATGTGAAACCTGAATTGTCAATCTAAGATCCAGAATTCCCTCTCTCAGACGTTCTCTAAAAGCATCAAGTCCCTTTCTTGCTATATAGGTGAAGCGGTGAATGTCAAGATCAATCTCAAAGTAATTTGGGCCCTGCAATGACAAACGATTAAGCATAATTTATTATACGAAAACAATACAACCACCCTTTGTATACATTGCATGAGTCTATTCTTTTTGTGACAGCAAGATTATTATATCTCCAGAAATCATAAAAGGACAATCCAAACAAAACTGATAAAAGTCATGTTGTGGACGAGAAAGCACCCATTTCTCATTGTATGCATTTAAGAGTTTCCTTTCGATTGAGGTCGACACAAGATCACATGGATTCACCACCCCAACCATAATCGTTAACCTTTCTCTGAAAGGAACTCTTGACTCCTTTGCAAATCCTTTAACTGTTTCCATATCATCTTCTACTAATCTCTAATAAAAAACAAACAAATCAGTGTATTAGGAAACATAAGTACTGCTTAGTAAATGGTGGGAGGTGGGACATACCTTGATGCTGTCCTGAAACTATGGAGAGATATCTTTCCCATAAGTTTCATAGAGTTTGAAATACAATACAAGGCTGAGTCCTTTCCCATCACTTTCTCCATGGAACAATTGAGCATCATAAATCGGCAGCTGAATCAAAATAATAATTAAAAAATAATAATACAGTAAGAAATGCTTGATATTCTCTTCGTCCCAACTTTTTTGCAATGTCTGAGTGACATGAGGAATAACTGAATAAAGAATTGAAAATTTGTATAGTTGAGGTTTATCTTTAAGCGAGAGATGCAAAATAAATTACAAATTTCTTTCCTTAAAAGGAAAAAGGTAAACCTTTGTGGGACAGCCACAAAAAATTAGGAACTAAGGGACTATGTGTCATCTTTATGGAGGGAAACAATTGTTCAACATACCTGAATGTTAACTATGAGAAGTGGGGGTAGCTGTTGGAAAAACGTGTTAAAATTGCATTAAATGGTCTTTTTGGGGCAATTATTTGAGTGGGGTCCACTTCCGATTTGGGTCGGGTCAAAGTGGTTTTGGATTGTCCTTGTTAAGGGCTACAATTCGATATATGGTACACTCAAAACGGATAACGGGTGAATGAGAAATTGATTCTCGAAGTTCACTCGTTGAAATGGAAAAACTGGGAAAATGGTGAGTTTCTAGTGTGTTTTATCCCACACCGAAAAACTCAAGGGATTTTCACCCCCTTATAAAGGGAAGCCTCCTTTAAGGAGTTAAGATTCCTAGAGGTAAAGGCTCTCTCTTACGCGCAGGGGGGGTGCCGATCAAATCCCGAAACGGAGAAGAAAAACCGCGACTCGTGTGCGCGGGCGACCTGCGGACACGAATGTCGTCCGAAAACCTATCATTCAAAGATACAGTCTAAGTTTTGTTTCTTCCATAAGAACTCTGGTGGCTTCACATCAGAGTTGCTCGAACTCTGGTGGCTTCGGACCAGAAGCTCGAACTCTGGTGGCTTCGCATCAGAGTTGCTCCAACTCTGGTGGAGGTCTTCTGGTAGCATCAGAACTGCCCCAACTCTGGTGGGGGTATTCTGATCGCGCTCCAAGCCGTTACAACCATTAAATGCCCAACGTTATTGTCTTTTAATGCAACGTTAAATGAACAGTTTATGGATGATTCAATGCCCAACGGACTGGTCATTGAAGTCCAACGTTCAGGTCCATTAACACCCCATTTAACACACAACAAATCCTCCTATAAATAGCTGGCAGGTGGTTTGCAACAACACAACGCACAATACATTCCTCACGAATTTCTTGAGCTAAAAACACCTAAAGTTACTCAGCAAACTTCCTTCTGTGTTCATACTTGGTTCTCGTTCGCTGGAACTCTTGTTTGTGTGCTCAAACATTAGTTCGTAGTCATCGTATCCTGGGAAACGATTGTTGCAACGCTCCTAGCACCGTGGGAGGCAACAAATACGTTTTAAGGAAATCGTGCGTAGCACGAGCTTTGACTAATTCTGCTTCATCTCCTTTCCTGTTTTTCTTTAGTCATTTTATTTAATTAATTAATTTTAATTAATTTTCTTTATTTTCCGAAACACATCAAACAATCTTAAAACGTATTTGTTGATTGTTCTACTCCGGTAAACAATCTTAAACGAAGTTTGTCACTTTGGTGAAAGAACTTATTTTATTTGTGTTTTCGGAAAAACGTTAAAGAACGAAAATGACTTCTCAAGAAAACGAGATTGGTGTTGGGCAGAATGTTCTGAACGACAATCACTCTGAAAGCGGAGCACCGGTGAACAATAGTTCACAACGCGGTGCATCTGCTTTGGCCAACCAAAGGGCTATCCCTATGGTGACCGTGCCAAGCAACTCTGTGGAGAAACCCGAGAAATTCAACGGGTTAAACTTCAAGAGGTGGCAGCAAAAGATGCTATTTTACCTCACTACTCTCGGTCTTGCTAGATTCTTGACCGAAGATGCGCCGGTAGCAACCGGGGGTGAGGTGGATGCGCAATCTTTCAACGCGGTTGAAGCTTGGAAGCATTCTGACTTTCTTTGCCGAAACTACGTGTTGAACGGGCTGCATGATGCTTTGTACGACGTGTATAGCAAATTAGCTACGGCTAAGGAGCTATGGAATGCTTTGGACCACAAATATAAAAGCGAGGATGCCGGCGCAAAGAAATTTGTTGTTGGTCGATTCCTTGATTTTAAAATGGTGGATTTGAAGACGGTCTTGAGTCAAGTTGAGGAGATGCAAATGATCTTCAACGAAATTCGAGATGAAGGAATGACGGTTAGTGAGTCATTCCAAGTGGCGTCAATTATTCACTTATTGCCGCCGGCTTGGAAGGATTTCAAGAACTACCTTAAGCATAAGCGAAAGGAAATGAATTTGGAGCAATTGATCCTCCGTCTGCGGATTGAAGAGGATAACCGGAAGAACGATGGGAAACTCCCAATTGTTCATGGTGCCAAGGCCAACGTGGTGGAGCATGCTAAAGGCTCCAAAAATAAAAATAATGGGAAGAGCAAGCTCGGTCCCAAGGGAGGCGTTTCCAAGACAAAGTTCAACGGAAAATGCTTCAATTGCAACAAGAATGGACACAAGTCCTCGGATTGCAAGGCACCAAGGAAGAAGAAAGATTCTCACGTGAACTTGGTGCAAGGTGGGCAAAAGGATGAAGACATCATCCTTGCGGCTGTGGTGACCGAGGTTAACCTCGTTGGATCCAATTCCAAGGATTGGTTCGTGGACACCGGTGCTACCCGGCATATTTGCTCAAACCGGGAGCTATTCACGACCTTTGAGCCATCAAATGGTGAAAAGGTGTGGATGGGAAATTCTGCTCATTCCGCGGTGGAAGGCGTGGGCAAAGTGGTCCTGAAGATGACTTCGGGCAAGGAGCTGACTCTAAACCAAGTGGTGTTCGTTCCGGAGATACGCAAAAACCTGATTTCCGGTTCGTTGTTGAACAAGCATGGCTTCCGCATGGTTTTTGAGTCGGACAAATTAGTTTTGTCTAAATCGGGAATGTATGTGGGAAAGGGGTATACATGTGATGGGTTGTTTAAGCTCAATGTAATGACTATTATTAATAATAATAACAAAATCCCTTCTGCTTACTTGCTTGAGTCTTCCAATGTGTGGCATGGTAGACTAGGACATGTTAATTTTAATTCTATACGTAGATTAATTAACATGGAGCACATTCCTAAATTCACAATTGATGTGAAGCACAAATGTGAAGTTTGTGTAGAGGCAAAACTAACGAAAATGTCTTTCAAATCGGTTGAAAGAAAAACGGAACCACTTGAATTAATTCATAGTGACGTTTGTGATTTTAAATCAATACAAACACGCGGCGGTAATAAATATTTTATTACCTTTATCGACGATAGCACTCGCTATTGCTACGTTTATTTATTAAAAAATAAACACGAAGCAATCGATAAATTCATTCTTTATAAGAATGAAGTGGAAAACCAACTTAATCGACGGATTAAGACGGTCAGGAGTGATCGAGGTGGTGAGTATGAAGCACCAATTGGTGACTTTTGCGCTAGTACACGAACGTACCGCACCCTATTCACCTCAATCAAACGGTGTTGCCGAACGAAAGAATCACACATTGAAAGATATGATGAACGCGATGCTAGTAAGTTCGGGCTTGCCACAAAATATGTGGGGCGAAGCAATCTTGACAAGCAATTACCTTTTAAATAAGGTTCCCCGGAAAAAATATGATAAAACTCCGTACGAGTTGTGGAAAGGCAGACGACCTTCCTATCAATATTTAAAAGTGTGGGGGTGTCTTGCTAAGGTGCTTGTACCAACACCTAAGAAAATAAAAATAGGTCCAAAAACGGTGGATTGTATTTTTATTGGATATGCACAAAATAGTAGTGCGTATCGGTTTTTAGTGTACGATTCGAATAATCCGGATGTACATAAAAACACAATAATTGAATCAAGGAATGCTTCATTCTTTGAAGACGTATTTCCATGCAAGTCCAACGAAGGACCTAGCACGTCAAAACGAACATTTGACGTAGCTATGGAAAATACTAGCGAGGGATCCGGAGAAGAACCCGAACCCAGACGTAGCAAACGTGCTAGAGTCGAAAAATCCTTCAGACCGGATTTTCTCACCTACCTGGTAGAATTTGAATCGGATATTCTAACATGTATGGTAGAAAATGAACCGGATTTTCTAACATGTTTGGTAGAAAATGAGCCACGGACTTATACGGAAGCCGTGACGTCTACTGAAGGTCCTATGTGGAAAGAAGCCATCAAAAGTGAGGTGGACTCTATCCTAAAAAATCACACGTGGGAATTGGTTGATCTCCCTCCGGGATGTAAACCTTTGGGATCCAAGTGGATTTTTAAACGTAAAATGAAACCAGACGGTTCCATTGATAAGTATAAGGCCAGACTTGTAATCAAGGGATACAAGCAACGTGAGGGCCATGATTACTTTGACACGTATTCTCCCGTGACGAGAATAAATTCCATTAGGATGATACTAGCGATTGCCACTTTGCGGAATTTGGAAGTTCATCAAATGGACGTAAAAACCGCTTTTCTAAATGGCGATATAGACGAAGAAATCTATATGGAACAACCCGAGGGTTTTCGTGTTCCAAGCCAAGAAAAGAAGGTTTGTAAATTAATTAAATCATTGTATGGATTGAAACAAGCCCCTAAACAGTGGCACGAAAAGTTCGATCATGCAATGTTAATTAATGGGTTTAAGATAAACGAAAGTGACAAATGCGTCTATGTGAAAAGCACAGTAGACGGCTATGTCATTTTATGTTTATACGTGGATGATATACTCATCGTAGGTAGCAATAATCTAATGATTAATTCTACCAAAAACATGTTAAATTCTAAATTTGACATGAAGGATATGGGGCTGGCCGATTTAATCCTTGGGATTAAAATAATTAGAGGACCTGACGGTCTAACGCTAAACCAATCCCATTACGTTGATAAAATCCTTACTAAATTTAATAAGGATGATTATCAAGAGGCAAGGACGCCATTAGATAAAAACACTCATCTTACCAAAAATCATGGAGAGTGTATTTCTCAAGTTGAATACGCTAGGATTATTGGAAGTTTGATGTATCTAATGAGTTGTACCAGGCCTGATATTGCCTTTGTGGTTAGTAAGCTAAGTAGATATACTAGCAACCCCGGTGATGAACACTGGAAGGCAATAATAAGGGTTTTGAGGTATTTACGTAAAACCCAAAATCTTGGACTGCACTATGGAAGATATCCAACTGTACTTGAAGGGTATAGCGACGCTAGTTGGATATCCGACATAAAGGACTCTAAATCCACAAGTGGATATGTTTTCACTTTGGGAGGTGCAGCCGTGTCGTGGAAATCCTCGAAACAAACGTTAATAGCTAGATCCACGATGGAATCTGAGCTAATAGCCTTGGATAAGTGCACTGAAGAGGCTGAATGGCTACGCCATTTTCTCGAGGATATTCCAAGTTGGGAGAAGCCTGTCCCTCCAATATGCATTCATTGCGATTGTCAAGCGGCAATTGGAAGGGCACAGAGCAATCTCTACAATGGTAAGTCTAGACACGTTCGTCGTAGACATAACACCATTAAACAACTCCTCACAACGGGTGTTATCACTGTTGACTACGTGAAGTCAAAGGATAACATAGCGGATCCGCTAACCAAGGCATTGGATAGAGAATTGTTGGAGAAGTTGTCACGAGGAATGGGACTAAAGCCCGTGAATTGAAAAGTTCTATAGTGAATACCCAACCTAGTTGGTCCTAGGATCAAAAGGGACAACTAAATTATAGAGCGAAGGATGGTCATTGTGGGGGTCCCGGACTCCTACCCACTCCTCGTTAAAACAGTGACTCCCGCACGAGGTTAGCAAAAACGTTTGCTTTAATGATTCTATAATGTTGATCTACTCGATAACATTGGAAGAGTATGCGGGATACTCGTGAAAGAATCACCTATGTGAGAGAGAAGAGGGCCGCTTCAAAGGAGAACTGTAATGGCTCAGTTCTTTAGAAACTCTTGCAGAACCAGGACGGTGACACATGGCCAAAACGGGCACACCCATGAGAACGGAACAAAGTTGGAAGGTTCTTGTGTAAAGATAAGTCAATGTTTACACGACGACAGTATAGTTCAAGGACATCGAGTCTACTAGACAGCCAGTAAATAAACGTGTCTTTACAACGGAAGGTTCAAAGGATAAAACCTACCTCTCCGTATGCAAGGATCATCCGGTGAACACAATGTGTCCTCCTATCTTCGTGTCTTTTTAGGTCTCGAAAATCAATTTTCATTCATGTGGGGGATTGTTGAAAAAACGTGTTAAAATTGCATTAAATGGTCTTTTTGGGGCAATTATTTGAGTGGGGTCCACTTCCGATTTGGGTCGGGTCAAAGTGGTTTCGGATTGTCCTTGTTAAGGGCTACAATTCGATATATGGTACACTCAAAACGGATAACGGGTGAATGAGAAATTGATTCTCGAAGTTCACTCGTTGAAATGGAAAAACTGGGAAAATGGTGAGTTTCTAGTGTGTTTTATCCCACACCGAAAAACTCAAGGGATTTTCACCCCCTTATAAAGGGAAGCCTCCTTTAAGGAGTTAAGATTCCTAGAGGGAAAGGCTCTCTCTTACGCGCAGGGGGGGGGTGCCGATCAAATCCCGAAACGGAGAAGAAAAACCGCGACTCGTGTGCGCGGGCGACCTGCGGACACGAATGTCGTCCGAAAACCTATCATTCAAAACTCTGGTGGCTTCTGACCAGAAGCTCGAACTCTGGTGGCTTCACATCAGAGTTGCTCGAACTCTGGTGGCTTCGCATCAGAGTTGCTCTAACTCTGGTGGAGGTCTTCTGGTAGCATCAGAACTGCCCCAACTCTGGTGGGGGTATTCTGATCGCGCTCCAAGCCGTTACAACCATTAAATGCCCAACGTTCTTGTCTTTTAATGCAACGTTAAATGGACAGTTTATGGATGATTCAATGCCCAACGGACTGGTCATTGAAGTCCAACGTTCAGATCCATTAACACCCCATTTAACACACAACAAATCCTCCTATAAATAGCTGGCAGGTGGTTTGCAACAACACAACGCACAATACATTCCTCACGAATTTCTTGAGCTAAAAACACCTAAAGCTACTCAGCAAACTTCCTTCTGTGTTCATACTTGGTTCTCGTTCGCTGGAACTCTTGTTTGTGTGCTCAAACATTAGTTCATAGTCATCGTATCCTGGGAAACGATTGTTGCAACGCTCCTAGCACCGTGGGAGGCAACAAATACGTTTTTAGGAAATCGTGCGTAGCACGAGCTTTGACTAATTCTGCTTCATCTCCTTTCCTATTTTTCTTTAGTCATTTTATTTAATTAATTTATTTTAATTAATTTTATTTATTTTCCGAAACACATCAAACAGTAGCTTCCCACCTGCCTTGACAAAAGGAAGCTCAAGGTGATGTGCAATGTGTTTAATCTTTCTTGGGCACACACATAAATCAACTCCAATAGGAGTATAAGGACATAAATTTGGAGCAGGAGACTTCTTCTTGTCTCTGCATATTAAGTTTTAAGAGTATGAATATGTTGCAAAAGTAATAATAGTAATTAGGAGTATCTAAATATGAAATAACAAGCCAAAATATAATATCTAGAGTTACTCTTCCAATTGAGAGTTTGTTGACATTTAAGTCTCAAATGTTGTAGTTTATTGGTAATGTCAAGTTGTTTGGTTTGAACATTAGTATGAGAAGAATATAGTGTTAATATCAAATTAGCAAACAGAAGCATAACATGTGTTTGTTCACATCGAGGTTGAGGAGAGGTCACAACTGCGTTAGAAGCAATAGTATCCGAATAAGCTATGACATATAAAGGTCAACAAAAATGGAGTCATGGCCGTACTTAAAAAAAAGTATCACCACGGAGCTTGAAAGTAGAGGGGTCGGTAATAGACCAAGTTCCTAAAGTTGGCTTTTTGTCTGTACAACATGCAACTGTGAGTCCTGCTCTGGGCCGGTAAAGAAATGTTTTTGATCTACCTGTATGCATGTCAAATGTCAACCATATTTTTGTAACAAATGTTCTTAATAAAATTGTCCTATCCCCTATCTTCAACCCCATACCCTTCAATAGCCACACCAAGTTATTTACATAGCGGCCATATCAATGATTGAAATACAACTGATTGAGTGATTGTGTGGACGATACAAAATAATAATAATTATTACTCCGTATTATAATATTATTGTAGTAGTAGTGATAATATTCATAATTAAAAGCATACTAATAAGATCTTCCTTAGATATTTGAAACTGTATAGCCAAGCTAAATAGATTGTTTACATAGCGACCACATCAATGATTGAAATATAACTGATTGAGTGATTGTGTGGACGATGCAAAATAGTTATTATTATTACTCTGTATTATAATATTATTATAGTAGTACTGATATTATTCATAATTAAAAGCATACTAATAAGATCTTCCTCAGATATTTGAAATTGTATAACCAAGCTATTAGAAGATACTCTCAACGGATAATTCACGTCAAGAAAAAAAGAGAAATTTCTTTTCTTTCACCCTTAGATTTGAGACATTCTCAGAATGACCATATGGTAGCCACATTTCTTAAAATAACAGGGATCTTATTTGAAAATTATCCTGAAGTAACCCTCAATGTACGAAACGTCTATATGGAAGGGCCACTTTGAGAAATACTACAAATCTAAGGGTTGCCTAAGGAAAGTTCCCAAAAAAATCAAAACTAAAATCACAATATACTTACAAAAATCATCTGCTGCATTTTCATCAACAGATGTCCTCTCTAAGGATAGCCTGATGACAGTGGCGGATTTTGCTACTAAATTTTGGGTGTTCAAAAATATTTTACTATTAAAATATTACATAAAAATTACATACATAAATTCTTAACATGTATTTTTGTATTGAATTTTAAAATGTTTGGGTGTACATGTGAACACCCCTGAACCAACCACATCCGCCACTGCCTGATGATAACAGATTTTGTTGCTTGAGAGTAAACACTTGAATCTGATATATTAATATCAATGATATTTAAACATCAGTGAGAAGTCCATAACAAAGTTTGGTTTAACTAGTCTATATATCTTCACACATCATGGTCTTCCATAAGGATGGATATCCAAAGCCATGGGCCCCTATAAGAACAAGCCCTATTTATGGCTCAATTTGCTTCCTTATTATAGAGTATATATTAAAATATCATTCATGTTAGAATTTGTACTTCGATTTGTTGTCTACAAAACAAGACAAAGTCTCATACTAAATGACATGTCCACCCGGCGCATAAGGAAGATAATCTGTATCACAAAATGGAATAATATCACTAAACATGTTATTAGTTCAAATTTATGACCTGAAAGTCAGTGTGGTGATTACGCGGTGTCAACTTTGTTGTTTCCCAAATAAAATATGGAATTTTATTTAAGACTTCAGCTAAAAGCAACCGAAGCAGTAAAAGTATTGATGAAGATGACGATGACGATGATGAAAACATACTCCCTCTGTCCTACCCTTGGCTTTTCACTTGTCTTTTTTGGACGTCGTAGCTTAAGCTTCTCATTTCTATTTTAGGAAATAATTAGTACTCTTAAATGATAATTTAATAATCAAATCTTAAAGAATACACCTATAACATCATAGTTATCATCAATGACCTCATTATGTTACATACCCATAAATATTACTTCTAAAAATATACTCGAATTACCTTATTTAATTATTGTCTAAATAATCGTGCTATTTTTCAATGAGAAGCTTAGGCCAGGGCGGAGGTAGTATTAATTACTTTAAGGTATGCTATGGCAGTTGTATATCAACAAAATAATACAGATTGTAAATTATACGGAGTACCTGACAATGCCTACAAAGAGTTGTCACTGGGAGTTTAAACGGAACATAATATGCTACTTACCTCCATGAACACTACAGAAGTCATCATCATCTGAGTCATGATCCAAAATGCTGACTGTATCGAACCATGCTTCTTCTTGAGAAAATACTGCAAGCGTGTCAATCTATATTTAGTTTCAATTCTCGAGTTTTAAAGTTGTATGAGATTAACAAAAGGAGCTTAATAACGAATAAGGATACTCTTTTTCCTTATTGATTAAGGATTTCATTCAACTGAATTGTCTGAAGCCCAGGGGACAAGAAACTGTGATTATGTTTAACAACCTTCTTCATTGGTCAATATGAACTAGAGCACTTTCATGGCATTGTATTCAGTTAATTCCCGATTTAGTCCCTCGACTATACATTCATCTTAATTGTCTGAAGCCCGGGGGGCAAGAAATTGTGAATTACATTTAACAAGGATACTCTCTTTTTCCATACAGATTAAGGATTTCATTCAACTTAATTGTCTGAAGCCCAGATGACAAGAAATTGTGATTATGTCTAATAAATAATAATCTTCATCATTGGTCAATGTCAACTAGAGCACTGCCATGACATTGTATTCAGTTAATTCCTGATTTAGTCCCTCAACTATACATTACAACAATTTGGTCCTCAACTAGGCAATTGAGACCAAAGTTAGTTGAAATGTAGTCAAAATTGCATGTTCAAGGATCAAACAGAGCAAACAAAGCTTGTTCAATGGATATTTGAGGAAAGCAATAATAATATAAACACCAAAAAAATTGATTAAGGAGATTGTTTAGTAAGGTTGACGGAGTGATCAAAGTATTAAACATATTGTGTTCTTTGCTTTTTAGGTGATATAGGACGTGTAGTAATAGCTTTATAACTTGTTAGACCACTATGTTGATGAAGACATTCTGCCTATAAAACTACACAATATTTCAAGGATGCAACCCCAATAATTTTACTCATAAAGCTCAATTAATAGATAATTAAAAATCACCTACTAATCCTAGAAATATCCTTACAAATGGATAAACAAGCTCAATTGATCATATGTATGAAACTATGAACCTTTAGAGTCTTGAATGTCAAACGTCGGATGTTAGTAAGCATGATGCTGATATATAAGTTGAGGTCAACCATACCTCCTCAGCATCCTTTGGAGGTGAGTTAAGCAGCATTTAATATGGTATCATAGTCTGATACGATTATGGTTTATTGTTTGTTTAGGACTCGTAATTTAGGGTAGTCTTTTTAGGATAAACCTTATGTCTAGGATCCTTCGATCAACAAGTAATTAAAGCTGGAAATACCATTAGTATCAATGTGGCTGCTACGGTGCAATTGCGACAAATCAGACAGTTTGCTTCTTACAGTTGTGTGAACAAACTCACTCACACCAATATCTTGAACTCTGCTACCCCCTCCTCCATCTCCATTCTTTTTCCTTTTTCCTTCTGTAAGAGCACTTGATACCTTTCCATGGTGTCTCTTGTGGCGGCGGCGGAGGTTTTTCTTCCTCACCTGGATTATCTGACGGGATGCTTTCGAACCACAGACACCCATTATTCCTCCTACTCAGCTTACAAACAGATGTTGTCCTCATGCGAGTTCCAACTCTTCACCCGTGCCACTAGAAGTTTTACATCCTGTCCTCAACATGGGAAGGAAATCAAAGAACGAAAATAAATAAATAAATAAATAAGTAAATAAATAAATAAGTCATTTAATAAGATGAAGTGAGGATAATTCATCGTGTTTCTAAGTTTCAATGCCTTTCTCCAAAAATTAAAATATGGAGATCTAGTTAGAGATACCGTAACACAACACATGCATCTCTAAGTATGACTAACCTGCCAGGTTGGGGGAATGTAGCAATTTTTTTCTTGTTTTATTATTAATGTTAGTTTGTTTAGGTAAGAAAAATCAGTATTCCTTATCATGACCTACCAGACTTGCATATTAGAAATGTAAAACGTGAAAACATCAATATCAACTGTTCTGAAATCAAACAAAAATTATATCATCAAGAAATGACTTGAAAGGGGTCCCAAGAAGCTGATTAGCATACAATTGGAAAAGAATAAGCTGTTTGGTATGAGTATTAGTGAGGACTGAGGACATATGAAGTTAACATCAAGCGAGCACACAAACAATCTAACTAACAGAAGCATGTGTATGTTGTTGTGTGTTCACATTAAGGTTGAGGACAGGCCGCATTTGCGAAAGGATTAATTTAAATAAAAGTGAGAGAACATCTCAAATTATGAGTCCAACTACTTAGCAACTAGCAAGCAAATATAAAGCCTGGAAATCACGAGTGACAAAGGCATTCAACACAATAAGAAAGGGATTAACTTTGACAGCAGAAATCAAGAGAGCATCAATATAATTCTACCCAAACACAAAGACATCAACATTGTTCGGCTCAAAACAACATTAAACTCTGAAATCCTAAAAAAGAAAGAGACTTTAACAGAAAAGTGGACAAGAAAAATGTTCCAAATTCCAATGCAAAAGGCAATAACCCAGAGTATAGCATTATATAAATCAAGCAAAAAGACAACCAATTCTTTTTACCAATTGTATGTGGATAACAGAGGCGTCTGGTCTCCCTCTCTGTGGACATCGCTAGATAACCAGCAGGAGGGAGAAAAAACGGGTAAATGGGTCTGATGATGCTCCGGATCCAATCCTTTTCTTTCCAGCCAATGGCTCCGGTAAAGGCTTTTAAGATTCCTCTTAAGTGGGCCCGGACCTCAGTAGAAGGGCTTTTAAGGAGTTAAGATTCTTTAAGGTAAAGGCTCTCTCTCACGCGCAGAGGGGTGCCGATCGAATTCCGAAAACGGAGAAGAAAAACCGCGACTCGTGTGCGCGGACGACCTGCGGACACGAATGTCGTCCGAAAATCTATTCACTCAAAGATACGATATAATTTTTGCTTCTTCCCGTAACGGTTCCAGTTTTCCAGAAACGCAACAGAAGACCTCGATGTTCTGTCCGTTATAGGACTTAATGCCCAACGTTCTTCTCCATTAATGTGCGCTTTAAATGGATAGTTTTCGACATATTAATGCCCAACGTGCTAGACATTTATGTGCAACGTTCAGGACCATTAAAGTTCAGTTAACACATAACAAATCCTCCTATAAATAGCTGGCAGGTGGTTTGCAACAACACAACGCACAATACATTCCTCACGAATTTCTTGAGCTAAAAACACTTCCAGCTACTCCGAAAATTCCCTTAATGTTCTGCCTTTGTTCCCGTTCGCCGGAACTCTCGTTTGTGTGCTCAAACGTTAGTTCGTTAGCCACTATATCCTGGGAAACGGTCGTTACAACGGTCCTAGCACCATGGGAGGCGACGAATACGTTTTAAGAACACCCTGCGTAGCACGAGCTCTAGTTAAACGTTGTTCCATCTTATTTTTGTTTTCTTTAGCTATTTTAATTAAATAATTATTTTTATTAATTAATATTTTTTCGTTTTTCTGAGACACACCCAACAGACATCTCATTCAAGTAGAAAGCAATCTTAAGTATAAGATTTGGAAAAGGTGGATTTCATATAAGCAAGACATAATGACGTACTACGTACAAGTAATACGTACACTTTTTCATTTCACACAGAAAAATTGGTTTAATACTTGTTTTGGAAATTTGTTGATCCAAATTCCAAACCTTGAAACTAGGGATGGACGGGTCGGGGCCAAGCCAGGCAGTACCGGTTCTTGATAATTGGAGCCCGGTACTGGCCCGTTATGCTCCGATTCAGGCCCAAACAGTACTGGGCCCGGGTTGGTACCCACCAATTTAATTAAAAGAAAAACTAAAAACCATTTAGCCCGGTCCAGGCATAAAAAATCAAGCCCAAAGCCCGCCCCTTATAACCACCGGGCCGGTACCTGTCTCAGAAAACCGGGCCCGGGCTGGTACCAACAGTACCGGTCCCGGGCCGGTCCCGGGCCGGGCCGCCCAGGCCTGGTCTGTCACTACTTGAAACACATGTTAGGTTTACGTTTGACAAATATCAATGTAGAAAAAAAAATCAACTACACTGAACACAACTGTTCCTCATTGCTTCAAAAAATATAGGGAGTGATAGTAATACCATTACTCCGTAATAAATAAATAAAAATTAAAAAAAAACGATTGACAAACCTTACAAATTCTGCAGTACATTCTTCTCGGCTAACCCCCTATTGTCAATGACTAATTGCTTATATAATACACGTTGTTCCTATGTAATTACAACAAGCTGAACAACAAATATAGACCAATCAGACAACTCCTTATCCTAACGGCTTGGCTCAAATGCATCAACTATAGTTACCATACCATACAATATAGCAACTCTGATCAGCTACTCCTCTTTCTTTTAAAAGCAGGATGGATAACTGGACGTTGAGACCCTAATTTATCAATCCTTCCCATAAATTCCATCACTTCCTTCAACCTCTTTAACACATTTGATGCTAAATCTGCATTGCTCAAATACTTCTGTTTCAGGAGCTGTGTTTGCTCATCAGCCTCATCTTGCTCTTCTCCCGTTGAAGGACCCTCATTTGAATCAACAGCTACTAAATCTGTGCACCATGAAGATTATGATAAATGCTTATACAGTATTTTAGAGGCTCCTGGTGAAAACCAAATTATGTACTTTTTCCGCCCAAGAAACAAAGCAAAAAGAGTTTTTGTTAGCATTCCATAAATGCTTTTATTAGGATGGTGTAGCAAATTAAGTAAACATTTAGATCATAGATGCCAGAGAAAAATACAAAATGTTCAATTCAAGATTAAGGCTCTGTTTGGTAGCCAGCTCAGTGGCTTATTCTCGTCATCACTAAAATAAGAAGAATAAGTATCTTTTTACTTGATGATTTGGCTGAAGTGGGTTACACCAAACATTCTCTGTTCAAGAAAACCCAACAGGTTTAGCATCATTGCAGCTAAACAACCCTTACCATCCAAACAGGCCCTAAAATTCCAATTTTTATCAACAACTACTGCTATGTTTCGATGGAACTCCTCGGTCAGATATTTTAGTACTCCACAAGCCCAAGAGCTGCCCTATGAAGTGCAAATTACCACAAAAATTCTGAAGTTTTCCTACTTTATGTTCAGCATCATTGCAGCCAAACAACCCTTACCATCCAAACAGGCCCTAAAATTCCAATTTTTATCAACAACTACTGCTATGTTTCGATGGAACTCCTCGGTCAGATATTTTAGTACTCCACAAGCCCAAGAGCTGCCCTATGAAGTGCAAATTACCACAAAAATTGTGAAGTTTTCCTACTTTCTGTTTAACTGTAGCAAAAAATATTCCAATTCCGAGAAACAAAACATGCAATTACTCAATAACGTCTGAGCTTCTTCGCACCAGATCAATACAGCAGTGCAATTCAATTACTAACTACGAGGAATTATATATGCAAACAACACCAAAAGTGCGTGTCTATATAGGCTGTATCCAATTTGCGAACAAATGCATAGAATCTGAAAGTTTAAAAACCCTAGGGGGAGGCGTACCAGGGCCAGGTAGGCGTGAGGGTCTGGGTAGATGTTGGGATCCGAAATCGAAATGTATATCTTGAACGGGTTGGTTAGCAGCAAGAAGAGAAGCTCGAGTTGCCTTGAGCTGATCCAGCACCGTGGCCCGGAGGCCTGCAAGTTTGGCTGCCATTTGTTTAACCTCTTCTTCCAGCTCGTGGTTTGGAGAACCCGGTACTTTGACTATCGACATCTGCACCTCCTCTCGCCGCCGCGTCGGTGTGCCGTGATACAGAGTGGAGCAGGCAGGCGGGGAGGAGGTAAAAGAGGAGGGAGACGAAAATTTTGAAATGAATGGTACTAGTAGAACTTAACGGACTATTTCTAGTCGTAGCTCCAAAAGTTTGAAGGGAATAGCATTTTGGGCTATGCTTGGTGTAATGTGTACATTTTTTGTAGATCACACACGCAAATGGGAGGCAAATGATGTCTTTTTCTTAACGAGTTGTCTGTATACATAAAAAGTATACAAATTTTGTGTACCAATAGAATTTTTCTTGCATTTTTTGGCACATTGCAAATTATATATGCAATTTATGTTAGCTTTTATATTTTCTCTCTCAATTTTTTCAAATGTTGTCTATTTTCCTTTTGGATTTGATCTTATTCAAAAGATATTACAAAAACTAAATTTAAAAGACAAAATACCATTTATTTTAAAATCTTCAAAAAAAATGACATATTCAGTGTTATAATAATTTCTTGTCTAATTAATCGTTCACAGTGACTAATCATATTTTTGTTCAAAAACACAATTAATCATATTATTGTCCACGGAAACTCTCTTAGTAATACAAACATTTGTATATGTACACCTTATCATCCCAACACAAAGTAGTATCAATGATTTTACTAGTATAAGAAAGTTTCACATTTATCCACTTTCAGAAACCCACTTATTGTGATGTCATGGGAAAACAAACATGTTTTCTACTTTTTAAATTTAGAAAAAATAAGTAAAACTATCTTAAGAATAGAAATATTTGAGTGATTGCTGTAGTTGTCTAACTCTATCTATGTTTGCCTTATACTACGTACATAGTCTACTATGTCATTGTCCATAATATCACCCATGACCTGGTTAGGAGGGTCACTTCAGTCGAGCCATTCTCAGTCTAAAGTATGCTCAGAATTATTAGTATTCGGTTGATAGGCGTTCTACTAGTTGGTGAAGGGTCATCCCTTAAAAGCTTTTTTATGTGAATAAAAAACTCCCTTTATCCCTAAAAGAACTTCCAACTTTCTCTTTTCGTCCGTCCCAAAAATGAACTTCAATTTCCTTTTTTGTCAAGAATTTGTGATTCAGAGCAATTCTTACACATTCTTACACATTTCTCTTTCCTCTGATAACTCTCCACCACACAATTCTCACTTTCTTAATCCGTGTGACATTTGTACTACGGAAGAACATTTAGGGACGGAGGGAGTAGTATTTTCCAAGACTTAGTGGAAGCGGGGGCGCTTACCCTCGTACTCAACTCACCTAGGTCCTCATCTTTCACCACAAAGAATTAATTGTATGAGCGAGCATTGAGGGGTCTGAAGCCCCTCTTTCAATTGAGGTCAATTATGGAAAGGTTGAGTGTTCATAAGTTCATTCAACCTAAAGTGTATAGCAACAAATGATGAATTATATTCTAATGGTTCGATTTGCATTTGGCAGAAACTAGGTGACACTACCTCGTCTCGATTCAGGATCGCAAAAGAAGCGGGTGCAGACGGAACATGATACCAACATCTTGATGGTCCACAAACCATTATGTGTTACCATTATTATGCATTAGTCATAGGTTTCAGTATATTTTTAGGTCAAAACCGATAAATGAACAGTTTCACCATGTAAGTGATATCGTACAAGAGCAATCACCTAAAGGATATGTTCGTCCTTTTACATCATTTGCTTAGCAGATTACCTACACCTATGTATGCACCTGAAATTTTAAATGTTTAATTTAGTTGCTGCTCAAGTGAAAAACGTTCACGCAAAAAGGAACTATGTTTGTTACGCTAAAAGTTCTTGCCACCAAATCTAACAAACCAAAATCTTTGTATAAGCAATGCCTAGCTAGTTAATAGAAAGGTAAACTTTCAGTGTTTCTCTGTAACATTTGGGACTTTCTCGGCTTCATTTTTCTGAACACCTTTCTTTGATCCGAAGATAAAGTCCTTCATAGAACGCTCTGCTGATAGTATTGCGTTTTTAATCTGCCATGAGAACAAGAGAGAATACTATCAATTAGGGTCAACTTACTGATTAAAATGAGTTAATATTACAATTCATGCAAAATGCACACTAGAGAAGAGAAACAATTTCCAATAAGGTGAGATATGTTCCAACAGCACAACTTATGTGAATGATAACACGCTTTATAGATTACTATGATTAGGGAAAAAATCATGTCCAACCAGCACAATGCAGCTAGTCTAATGAAGTTTGAATTAAACTTCATTAGCAAGATGAACCTGTGATCACTTCAAAAGTTTCTCCAACACAATATGCAAAAATGAAGGTTGAGGTTTCATTTAGACAAGAAAGCATGACTTTGAAACGAATAACATCCATTTTGTATAGGGAGGTTTGGTATTAGACAAAGTGACATCATATTAGAGGTATACATGTTGTTTGATCAAACACAAATGGGATAACATATAAGGAATGTCCAACCAAACAATATAGATTTTTCTCAAAATCCCATAAAATGGATTTATCCAAAAAAAGCACTAAATTTGCTTTCCAAAAGATGAATGAAATGATAAATAAAAAATGTGAAACAAAAAACACTATATTTGTATACCAAGATCGACTAGTAGACCACTTTTAGTTCATCTTTGATTTCTCAAGAGATACAATACAATGGGGGTGGGCATATCGGTTTGGCTTGACCGAACCGTATCAAACCGAGACCGAACCGTATCAAACCGAGACCGAACCGTATGCAATTCGATTTGAGTGTGACATCATCTCTTCCAAACCATAATAAACCGAATCTAACCGAAAACCAGGAAAACTGAATAAAATTGAAACGAACTAAAAGAATTCAATAAAATCTTCATATATTATTAAAAAGTAACAAACCCAAACCTAACTAAACGAACCAAATCAAAACATAGCATGGTTTTTGTTTGATAACCATTCATCTCATTCATTTCAAACTGATGTGAAAACCGATAAAAACCGAACCGAGACCAATATGCCCACCGCTGCAATACAACATGCAAGTGACTATTTATAATAGGGGCACAACCTTAGTCCAGTTTTGTGCTGGCCAAGAACAAAACTTCTTGATTGGACCTGATAATCCAAAATGGTTTGGTGTGCAGTGACTGCAGTCTCCGGAGTCCAACATGTATAGGATATGTAACTTAAATGTAAAGGTAATATTGCAGTTACAAATTTACCATCATCTACTTTCCCTTTTCTGGAATGTTTTCCAATATGCATATTCTTGAATAAAAAAAATTACCTCTTATTCAGCCTTATAAGCCTGTTTCAGCTTTTAGTGTTCAGGCAAAACTATGTTATTTGGGGTAGAAAAGCTCCTAGTTTGAACGGATAGCTCTCATGTATAACAAAAGCAGTCCACCTTCCAAACAAATCTTGTATAGTTACTAACTTAAAGAGTCTAATTAGACGTTGTCTCTCAAAGATATAGTCATTCAAGTCGACATAGCTTCATATAAGCCCCACAAAAGCGTTTCAGCGAAGTGCACAAAGGAAAATCCAGAGAACAGAACTTTTAGTTCCCACAAACACCAATTCCAGAACGAAAAAACACTGAACAAGCGTATTTATAAACGAAGTATATCTTTACAAGTTACAATACCTAGTTTCTCAATTATAAACGTTAACACGTATATTGAATTGACCAAATTGTCATGCATTTTCACTATCTTAAACGCAGCAGATGAGGGGCTTACAGGATCAAGAGCACTTGGTTCAGTGCCATAATCTGCAGTGAGGAGGAAATAAGAAGCCACAGCGGTAGCTACCATAGTCGTCCTTCTCACCAGCTTATCGGTTTTTGGGTCCACCATTTTAGCTTAGAGCTGAAGAAGAAATGAAAGCAAGGAGAAGCCGGAAGGAGCACAATCGACTTTGTTCTAATGAGAAACGGAAAAATCACGGAACATTCCTCTTCATACCCATAAAGGTGTGTTTGGATGGAGGATTTAGGGGTTTGTCATGGAGATGCCTTAACGGCTTAAAGAGAAATAAGCTCACACATTAGAGGCTTTAACAATAGAGAGAAAAAAAACAAATAAGCTCTCAATTAGACTCATAAACTAGGCGGTCTTACAAATACACTCACACATTGAAATAAAGTAATGAAGCCATTTTTACTTGTTGTCGGTAACTTTTCACAAGAAAATTACCGATATAAATACCAACGGAAATTCGAGACTCTCCGCTTTAAGTGTTTAACTAGTATCTGTCTGAGTTACAGAATTTCTAAGTGAATAAAGATCCAAAAAAGTAAGTTTTCAAATCACTGACTAAAATTCATTGTCTTGTTGAATCCTACTTAACCAAACAATGAGAAACTTATGATAGAACGGACGTCTTTCCGGTTAATTAGTGAAGATCACTCGTAACACATGAATGTCGAGGATCTCATGAACTGATAAAAGATTCATACGGTACTTCTATTTTATCACATTAGTTCATACTTCAAAATTCAAATCTTGAATAATGCTGAATTTAATCAAATACATTTGCCTGTCCAATCTTCAATATTTTCCTCCGGTATCCAAAAAATAGTGCAACTCAATAACTTACAAATTTCATTTCTTTAGCGTTATAGGGGTTGTATTCATTTACTCCGTATAAGTTTTTAAGACATTTTATGATTTACTCCGTATATAGATTTAGAAGTCTTTTTATATTACTAGAGAAATTACTCTAAATGAGACTAAAAACCGTTTGTGTATACAAAAATATGAGTATCATATTTTTATTTCCAAAATATGACTAATTATTATCATGTTTTGGCAGTAACAGATTTTAAATACTTTCGCTAAACTCACTTTAAAAACTCTTTTGGTAGAAATTTATGGTTGGACTCGGGTCGGGCCACCCGGCCCGTGGACCGGCCCGGCCCGATACTGTGCGGGACCGGGACCGGCCCGATTCTCGGGTCCGAGTCAAGGTCGGGCCTAGGCCCGGTGGGTAGTGCGGGTCCGGGCTCGGGTCTCACTTTTGGTGAACCGGCCCGGTCGGTTCGGGCCCGGTCCGGGCCAATTTATTTTTTTCTTTTTTTTTTTGAATTTTTTTAAAGTTTTTGGGTTGCTCTGGGTATGATGGGCCATTTGAGGTGGTTTGGGGCCTTGGGGTGAGGGGGGAGGGTTGGGGGTTAATTAGGAAAAGCCAAAAAAAATAACATGAACCGAGGCCCGGACCGGACCCAGGGGTTACCCGGGCCGGTTCCGGGACTCCCCTTTCATGAACTGAGGCCCGGCCGGGCCAAGGCCCGAACCGGAACCGGTCCACCCCTACTCTTGACTCTTGTCCTATTGTTAGCGAAACGGAGGGAGTAATAGATATGGTATGGTGAATAAAATTTTGAAGAATGCATTAACTGGCGGATACCTATGGTCTATTATTTCATTCAGTAAGAGCTAAAAGTACAGTTCAAAAACACAAATTTAATCATAACTGTGCAAATGACTGAAAAATTATACATTTCGGATTGTACTTCTCCATGCAGTATATATTTTGTGAAACAACAGCAAAGCTAAAACAGGTTACAAAATATTAATTCTCTTGGAATCTGTGAATGTCACTTGTGGCACCCCGATCCAGAACACAATCATTCAGAAGCGACGAATATCTCTAGGGGGCTTGAAATGAAGAGGATGAGTTTCCGGGGTAGCATTTTCATCCTCTTTCCACATTTTTATGGTCTTATCAGCCTCACAGGTAATCAGCCTTGAACCAGTGACATCATATGTCATTGCGTAGATGCCAGCTTCACTTTCCAGTGAACCTGTGTGCCATAATACCATTAGAAAATCAATATTGATTTGGGCTTTTTCTTTCTTCCTTGAATGATTATTACTCCTTCCATATCGTAATATGTGTCCCAATAGGCTTCTCACGTAGTTTAAGATAATTTATAGGTTTATTGTACGTTTTCTAAAAAAGTAGGAGATTTTTGGCATAGTAGCAATATTGTTTACTTTATTAATTGAAGTGTATTGTAGCTGCTTTTGGGGTGGATTTCTTTCCAAAAATGAAATTGTGACACTTATTTTGATACGACACAAAAAGGAATACACAACACTATTGTGATACAGAGGGAGTATTAAACTATTTAAGGACCGTTGATGGAATGGAGCATACCGGGTTGAACAATTGTTTGTGCTTGCTGGAAATTGTGGCCACTCCTCCAATCCCAGTACCACATGCTCCCATTATCACCTTCAAACGGTCGAAAAATAATCAAAAACAAAACACATCAGCATTCATCATCAGCAGTTCAGCACCACCTTAGGTTGTGTTTGGGAAGAAAGTATGAAGGTAAAAGATAAAGGGAAATAATTTTAACTTGTTTGGGAAGGAATGGAAAACAAGGATTGAGAAGAAAATAAGCTTCATTGTACATCATTCTTTTCTCCAAAATGGAAGGAAAATTCACCATTCATTATAAGATTATCCTATTATTTTCTGATGTATAAAAAATGATAACAGTATCCTATTATTTGAATTTTGATACTTATTTTGAGGATATTATGAAGGTTTTTTGCATATTCTTACTTACAAATACATAGTATATGTCCTAGCGAAGACTTCAACGTGTTACTAAGGTTGGAATCATTAATTTATAGTACTATTAGTCTATAACTTTATATATTAGTCAATAATTTGAATCATAAAAATAAAAGTATTTATTTTCGTTCTTTATTTTACCTCAATCAAAACGCAAGTGCTGATAATAAAGGAGACTAAACTTTACTTTACTTCTTATTTTAGTCTACTCTTATGGAAAATGGGTTTTCCTAATATATTAGAAGAGTTTTGCTTCGGGTTACACATTGGCTTACACATTCAAGTGTAAAGGGAAGTGTTTGTGATCCTGAATTTGTCTGTGCACAGACAATTCATTTTTTGTAGTCACAAACACTTCGCTTTACTAAAACTCAAGCGTAATTGTCTGCGCACAGACAATTACACTTGGGTGTGTACGCCAGTGTGTACACGAAGCAAAACTCATATTATAATATTGAAGTCAAATCCAAAAAAGTGACTACTTTTACATATAGACAAAAATAAAATGTAACTAATGAGGTAATAAAATTGAAAAACTATGAATTTCACTACTCTCGTATTATGTCAATAGCTGATTTTTATGTCACCGTCAGTTTATTATGTCACCAAGAGATATTGCTAGTGTGCCGTGGAACATGTCTCATTGCCTTCTGGAAATTTTTCCAGCAGCTTTTTCCAGAAAAATTAAAAAAAAAACAGAAAAAAATTGTAAGACTTTTCATGGCAACTTTTCCAGGGGTCGCTAGAGGAGGCAGCAGGGCAGGGAGTGAGCAGTTGGGTAGGGATCAAAGCGAAAAGAAATTTAAATTAATTAAACAAAGGTTAGTCATATTTTGTCTTCCAAAAGTGTAGAGGTGATATTTATGCTATTCTTTCATAGAAAATTTCCAAGCATAGTGTTAATCCACAACTATGTTGGTGGCATGATATTTTCAGTGCTAATACTTTTTAAAATTAGCCGAGACTAATTTATGCAAAAAAAATATCTTTATAGAGGCAAAACTTTATGCCGGAAATAGTTATAGGATGAAACTCCAAAACCATCATCATCAAGGTTTTTTGCAAGTTGCATGGGGAAGTTGAGATAATTAGTAATCTTGTGTGAATGTGTGATTGATATTGTAAAACCAGCATGCACTTGCTCAAGAGGCACAAATTTCTTACCTCCTGTAGCCATTACACCGTCGTCATTGACAGCCATTGCATTGATAATTGTTTTCTGCTGGGAACTGTGGTAATGAGACAATGCCACATTAGAAGATGAGATTGCTTCCAAAGACTGTACACATGTTATGAAAATTAGGGCTCTTCATGAAGCTTACAGCATGTTGTGCAAAAATTCTCCTTCTGGAAGGTTGAATTTTTTTATGTTGTCAGCAGAGGCAGATGCAAAAGCATCCCTATAGAGCAGATAAACAGAAAGCTATCAGTTATGTGAGACTTTCATAATTGAAGGACTATAGAGCACACATTAGTGAGTGATGTAGCACACAGCTATTATACATACTCCACTGGATGCAATGCCATTGCTCGGACAGATTTCTTGTGGTGTGTGAGTGTTGACATGGTCTTACCTGCAGGCGCACATAATCATTGCCAGCTAACATAAAACTTGGAAATTGGGAGAACTACCAAATAAGCCCTCGAACTTTCATAAAAAGTGCAAATAAGCCTTTTTATAGGAGGCTCTGTTCGGCCGTCGCCATTTGGGGCGGTTTCCGGTGGAATTTTCTAATGAAATTTTTTGAGCATCTTTTTCATCAAGTCTAGTTTACTCATACCAAATTCCAGCTAAAAAATCAATCGAGAAGACAGTCAAATTAATTTTTGAAGATAGTTGCGCAGTTAGACAGCGCAGTATATTTCAGAAAATCAAATCATTTGACTGCCTTCTCGATTGAATTTTTAGCTGAAATTTGGTATGGATAAACTAGACTTAATGAAGAAGTTTCTCAAAAAAAATCATCAAAACATTCCACCAGAAACCGCCCCAAATGGCGACAGTCGGAAAAAACCTCCTGTAAAAGGGCTTATTTTCACTTTTTATGAAAGTTCAAGGGCTTATTTGATAGTTCTCCCCTTGGAAATTTAATATCTTTGCCAAATACAATGTTATCGCTAAAATATTACCATTTCTGAGGTCCCAGAATTTTATAGTTGAATCATGTGAACCGGTAATGACTTGAGGATCCTGAACAAAAGCATGCCTTTGCAGTGATATTGATCATTTTTAAAAAAGGAAGAAAGCAACAGCAACCAGCCAATTACATATCACCGAAAGCCTACTAATTTTGTTTGATACGTAGTATATCATAATGATCACATAAATATCAAAAGAATATGCAAAATTTAGTCTGATCGATCAATAACCTAATTGGTCAATCTCGGGTTTTCAAAATCATTTTTTTAAAGTGAGGGAGTTTTAAAAGAGCCATTGAATTGTCAACCAATAGGGAAATGATAAAAGAATTCATCAAACTAATTGTTGAGATCGATCGGATCGGCCGGTACCCTACTTGGGTTGTACTAGGTTCGGTTTCGGACTGCGATCGTGCTTTCAGTCTTTTGGTCGGTCATAGAACCAGGTAAAAAATTGTACTCCCTCCGTCCCTTAAAACTTTGTCATCTTTCCTTTTTGGGACGTCCCAAAAAACTTTGTCACTTTCCTTTTTAACCAATTATATGTAGCATACTAGCATCTATTATTTCTCTCTCCTCAGCACAAAACTTAACCACATAGTTTTTACTTTATTATTCTCCGTGCCGGTCAAACATGGCAAAGTTTTAAGGGACGGAGGTAGTATGCTTTTCATATTTGAAAATTGAAACCTAAAGAATGAAAAAGATAAATTGGAGATAAAAAACTGGAAAATGAAAACAAAAAAAATAGAGAACATAAAACAGAAATAGAAAACTGAAAAATACAATTTATGGTTATTGAGGGGGAAATGGGGCAAAATTTTAAGATGCTTCTCACCTTTTGAGCCTTCGAAATTACCAATTGAAAAGAGTTATAGCATGGCACTCATTAAAGATTTAAAGAGATACATTGACACCTATAAAGATAAACTAGACTGATAGTTCATAACTGATGAACTTGTATAAATGAATCCAATGGCATAGAAAAAACCATGCAATCAATCATAACTGATGAACTTGTATAATTGAATTCAATGACATAGAAAAAACCATGCAATCAATCACAGCCTAAATATGCAAACTAGACAACTAGTAGAAATTGAAGGTTAATTTGGGTCAATTATTTGACATAGCCTCAACCTTAAACAGTATCACATCACTTTACATTATTAAAGGTCACAATAAATGAACAGGTGAAGAACCAAAAAAAGCTTACCAATGGCCGAGTGAAAACAGAGCACACTGTGTTTTCATGCCCTGACAAAGCATGGACTTGCATCTTGCTCCGGATGTCCCAAACCTGAAAAAACATCGTGTCAAATACAGCACCATCTGACATAACAAAGGAAAGATCACTGCGTATTCTTACAGATCATGATAACATACCCGACACACTGAATCACGACCACCCGTAAGAAGGACATCGAGGGTGGGATGTAGAGCTAAGCAATAAACACCACTTAAATGACCATGATAAGACCGAATCACCTGAGCATGAAGTAAGATTAATGTCATCTAACCACATCCTTTATTCTTAACCAACCCTTATATCAAAATGGCTTGATTATCTTAACCAACCTTATTTTGTTCTAGATCCCAGCATTTAACTTGTTTATCATCACCAGCAGAAAACATGTAGGTATGCTTGCTGCTAACGGAAAGGCCTGTAAAGAACTATATTTGTTAATTCTCCACTCTCTATTTTTTCAAAGAGGAGGAGGGAAAAAACATCACACACAACTATCAATCAGGTATTCATACAACAGAGCTTGTAAGACAGACCTCTTATTTGTTCAATATGACCAGTAAGGGTAAGTTTTAGCGTTCCAGTTGCTAAATCCCAGATCTTGTACCATAATAGGAAAGAAAGAAAACTTTTTAGCATGTAATTAATTCAGCATGCAAACATTAGATAAGTTCTTTAGAAGACAGAGGACTAAGATACCACATCAGAATTATAGCTAATACTAAGCAAACAAGGTAGGAGGGGAACAGATTACTAGGAGTCATTTGAGAAAAATACAATTGGATTCTAGGGTACTCATAATAGAGTAGATTCGAAAAAATGACTTGTTTTTGAGATGGTAATGCAGAAGCGTGACATGCAAACATTCAACATTGGTATTCATAATAAAGATGGGTCCAGACAGTTCTAGGGTGAGCTGGCTCCTTGTCGTTCCAAAATATAATTCAGATTAGTCAATGTCTATTTCTTTACTGGTTGGATGATTCTGTCTCATAAACAAGGGGGCATACATTTCAGGTTTTTTCTTTAACCTAGACTGCAGGAATGGCATTTCCAATCCAGTCCCTTCTGCCCTGCCCATGGATAAAATGTTTTAGGTTTCTTACCTTGATTGTTCGATCTGCTGACCCTGTACAAAACCATGTATTGCTGGGATCCACCGCAACAGACCGCACCCAACCCAAGTGCCCGCTGATGACCTGTGTATATTAACATAATTATCAATATCAGGACAAACAAGCAAAAAAACACTGCATTAACACTTCTCATTAGGAGAGATTGTGAAATCAATCAAATAAAGTAAGCATTCAAGAAAAAATATCAAAAGTAAATTATTCATGACTTGCAATTCATATTTGTAGCAAAGAGAAAAGAAATATGGCATGCCATAACAACCCAAAAAATAACATAAAAAAAAACACAAAATATATCCACAACCCTGACTTTTATATCATGTATGACCTATCTAAAAGAGCACGAGCTGGAGTTACTTACCCTGTAGTTCTTCCAGGGAGCATGCCACACAGGGCGTGGCCATTTACTTGGAATTCTTTCCATTATTGCAGCAGTTGTAAGATTCCTGAAGGGAGGGGGTAGTTATTTTTCAGCACCGTATAGGGCAAGGTTTAATATCAAGCAATATCTTTCCAGAAGTATGAGTATAAAATTCAGAATGTGAATGATCTTTAAATCAAGGCTTAATAATGCATAAGATGACATATAAATTCAGGCACAGAATGTGAAGGATTTATCTAAATAAAGCATTTACTCGGATAGTACTATAGTAGAAGGAGTATATTGCATCATATAAAGAAGAAAGGATGCGACCTTTCGGAAGAAGGGTTTAAGGGAACAACAGTAATACTACTTCTGCTAGAGAGCCCCTCCGTTCTGCAAACAAAAGTTTTACATTAGAATCCTATCACTTGCTTTATATTTCATTTTTGCAGCACAGTTGAGACAAAAACAGCCGTCATAGGAAATACATGTAATGAGCTTCAACACATAGAATTATGCTGCGTAGAGCTAGATCGACAACAATAACATGGAAAATCCAAAACTAAAGGCAAAATGTGTATGAGGTGATAAAAGGTAAAACGTACGTGCCCTTTGGTTGCAAAGCTGGACCGACAGCTAATCTATCATCTAACCCCTCCTTCTGTGAGACTCTTGCATTTTCTGGACCTGCCGGGATCAGTTAAATGTAATTCAAACATCTGCAGCTTCCTCATACGTACTCAATTTAATAGTATAGTGTAATTCAAACAAACATCCAACCCTCATTTTAATGGTAAATTTTTGCTTCACATTTTATTCAACGCATTGTAAATTTTTGCTTCACATTTTATTCAACGCATTTAAAGAAATGAGGGTTGGATGTTACAAGAATTATACATCAAGTATAATTATACCTGGAAGAGCAAGGGCATTTGAAGGAGCAGAGGCCTTTTGAGCTTGGCTATGAGAAGCCACCGAAGAAGTTGAATGGGATTGAGCTGATGTGTTTGCTATACCCCCATACTCAAGATTTAGCTTAACCATCAAGTAAAAACAAACCATTAAAATCCTCCATAGAACTGCAGCAAATATTGCACAAAGACCATATAAACTAAAAAATATTCAGCATTATCTCCAAACATAATGGAGTTCCAGACTTCCAAGTTTGATTATTATTACTGACCTTGTGACTTAATCGAATCTTCTTGCTGCAAAAAATTGAATTGCATAATTAGGTCACCATGTTACACATAGTGCATTTAGTCAGTCATAATAGTGAATACCTTTCCGGGTCAGGGGGTAAATGGTCGTGACGAAGAGCGAAGAGATCGAGAGCTCGCTTTAGAGATTTGAAACTGAGTTTCTTTAATGACTGAGGTTCTACTTGAACCTCGGGTTCCATGGTTGCTGCCCCTGGCATCGCAAAAGCCTAACTTTGAACGGTGGCGCTTCCCGGCTGCTTCGGAATGACCAAAGAGAATCTAAGCCGTGGTGGAGCTGTGATTTCCAACTCCAAAGAACGATGCATATGCGAGTTTAAAGAAATTTGGTTGATTTACATAATAAATCAGCAGAAATATTTAGAATTATACGGACGGTAAATATTTAGAGTTATGTGGGAAGTACAAACACTTTTACAAAAAGTCTTATAAAAGGAGATGTGGCATCATCTCATTATTTAACACATCACATCACATTTACAACACTTTTACATTAATGGTAATTAGAATAGTCACATCACTTGTTTGTAAGTTTTTTTGTAAGTGTGTTTGTACTTCTAGCATTTTTCTTTGACGACACACAATACATTGTTCACGTTTTCTTGAGCTAAAAAACACTTCCAGCTACTCCGAAATTTCCCTAGTGTTCTGTTATTGTTCCAGTTCGCCGGGACTTTCGTTCATGTGCTCAAACGATCGTTCGTTAGCCACCGTATCCTAGGAAACGGTCGTTGCAATGCTCCTACCACCGTGGGAGGCGACGAATACATTTTTGCTCCAACTCTGATGGGGGTATTTTGATCGCGCACCAGAACTGCTCCAAGCCGTTACAGCCATTAAATGTCCAACGTTCTTGTCTTTTAATGCAACGTTAAATGGACAGTTTATGGATGATTCAATGCCCAACGGACTGGTCATTGATGTCCAACGTTCAGGTCCATTAACACCCCATTTAACACACAACAAATCCCCATATAAAAGGCTGGCAGGTGCTTTGCAACAAACACACGGTTTGACAACACACAATACATTCCTCACGTTTTCTTGAGCTAAAAACACTTCCAGCTACTCCGAAATTTCCCTAGTGTTCTGCTATTGTTCCAGTTCGCCGGGACTTTCGTTTGTGTGCTCAAACGATCGTTCGTTAGCCACCATATCCCGGGAAACAGACTAAAACAGATCAGACCAGACAAGACTAGACCAAAATAGACCAGACCCTCAGAAAACCAACCATCAAAACAACAGTCTCCACACTCCAAAATCAGACAATGAAAGCAGAAATCACAGAAAGGAAAGAGATACACTACCTGAAACCTTAGCAACGAATGAACGGAACATCAGAAGAACATGCAACCGACCAAACCCCAGATGGCCTCGGTGTCGATTCCCTGGATGACCGTCGCTCTCTCGCAAAACGATCTCACCTCTCTAACGAAGCATCTGCATCCTAGGGTTCAAATGGCCGACATTCGCTTTCCTTTGACTGTGTCAAGTCTATTGGGCCCAAATTCCCCTGGGTCCATTTTTGTTTATTTTGTTTATCTTTTTCGGCTTTTTTAGAGCCCGTTTGGCAGCATGAAATTCGGCTGTTCTGGCTGATTCTGCTGAAATTTATGAAGTTCTGGCTGAAGTGGCTGCATTGGCTGATTATGCTGATACAAGAAAAAAAAAATTAAAATATATTTTATTAATAAAATAAAGAAAAAATTATATGTAAAAATAGCTAAAATGGTCATCTACAATAACTTCAACCAATACAAAAGTAACCTCAACCTTACTTTTTCAGCTTATTACACAATTTAGCGCGTGAAAACAAAATTTACGTGTTTGGTAAAAAAGTTGGCTGATAAGCCTGATAAGCCGAAAATGAGGGTTGCCAAACGGCCTCTTAAATAAGCCATCATATTATTTTATTGTTTCATCATATTATTTTATTGTTTTAGTTGTTGTAATAGTTATTTGTACTCATTATTATTAAAACGTCATAATATGTTGTAAATATGAATTAATTTCTTTTTGGTGGTCACCCTGTCATTCTATCAATCGCAAATTAACGATCAACATTGGTTCACTAAATAGTACTATCTCCATCTCGCTTAAAAGTTATAATGACAAAATGAGACGATTATTTAGACAATAATTAAATAAGATAAATAGATTATATTATGAAAAGTAATTTTTTTTAGGGAAATGTAATATATTGAGTTTGTTGATGATATTTGTGATGTTTTGAGTAACTTTTCAGTAGCCTTAGCTTCAATCAGAAAACATCTCCTAAGACCTTATTTTATGTACGATAGTATATACTTGTTTTGCTTCTTTTTTTGCTTACTTAATTGAGTTCTATATCAACTGGGCTTAGAGCTTTGAGTATTTATGAAAAATGATTGATTGTTTACGCTTTACAGACCAACGGCTAATTCAAAATCTACCAAATGATCTACGTACAAATGTACTCCACTTTTAAAAGTGTGAATTTCATTTGGGACCGTAGGGAGTATATTTCAAGAGTAAAGCACCATCATTTTTAAACATGGCGTCAAAACTGTCATGAATTCTTCCGCTTGACTATAACATGTATTTCTTCTTACTCCAAAAACAACTTTGAATAAGTTTTGAGTGCTACTTTTATTTCCTTAATTATAACCTTTTACGTAGTATTGTATCTTACATCTATACTCTTTTGATACATTTTACTATTGTTATATATATATATATAGGTTTTGGTTCAAATAAGAACATGATCTTATGAGAAAAATGAGAATGAATCTGGACCGTTAGATTTGCTTTATGTGAAATTCAATGTGCATTAGATGAAATTGTAATGTGTATTAGGTGAAATTGAAATGTGCAGCACAAATGATACAATGTAGTGGCATTATGTGAAGCTAAATTGTGCATTAGGTGAATTTGATATGTGCACTAGATGAAACTAAAATGTGCAGAATAAAAGGTACAATGTGATGTTATTTTTGTACCTTTTATTGTGCACATTTCAGTTTCACCTAATGCACACATGAGTTTAAATTTTAATTCTGCACATTTCAATATCATCTAATGCACATTTCGGTTTCACCAAATGCACAATTCAGTTCCACATAATTCAATCCAACGGTCCAGATTCGTTCTCATTTCTTTCCTAAGATCCGTTCTTACCGGAACCGCTCCCTATATGTGTGTGTGTGTGTGTGTGTGTATATATATATATATATATATATATATATATATATATATATATATATAGAGAGAGAGAGAGAGAGAGAGAGAGAGAGAGAAATTCTCCTGTCCAGCACTCCCACGTCCGAACACCGTCCGAACATCATCATTTGGAGAATTTCCCGTTGGAATTTTTTGATGAAATGTTTCGGGCATGTTTCTCATCAAGTATAGTTTATCCACAAAACAATTCAGCTCAAATTCGATCGGGAAGGCGGTCAAATATTTTTTTGAAGTTGAATGCGCCAAAATATACATATAAAAACACAACCAACTTCAAAAAATGATTTGACTACATTCCCGATTGAATTTTGAGCTGAATTTTTGTGTAGATAAACTAGACTTGGTGAGGAACATGTCAAAAATATTTCATCAAAAAATTCCATCAGGAAGTGCTCCAAAAGATGATGTCCGTACGATGTTCGGACGGGAAGTGCTGGACAGGAGAATCCCCCCCCCCCTCCCTCTCTCTCTCTCTCTCTCTCTCTCTATATATATATATATATATATACATATACATACATACATACATACATACATACATACATACACGTACACACTACTTTTTATTATACATTCACTAATTGTCTTAACAAATCATATTATATAATTATTACTTAGTTTATGTCCCGTGCATCGCACGGGTGAGAATCTATTGAATCAATAAATCAACAGAAGATATTTAGAATCATACGGAGTAAGCAAAATTGTAATTCGTCCCACACCAGACCAAACCAGACCAAACTAGACCATATTTTATTATTATTATTATTATTATTATTATTAGGGGTGTGCACCGGTTCAAAACCGGACCGGGTATCATTCCGATTCGGTCCGGTTCCGATTATTCTGGTCCGGTTCGGTCCTGTTTTCCGGTTAAAACCGGATAGTGCACACCTCTTATTATTATTATTATTATTATTATTATTAATATTAGGGGTGTGCACCGGTTCAAAACCGGACCGGATCGCACCGAACCGGACCGGATATCATTCCGGTTTGATCCGGTTCCGGTTTTTCCGGTCCGGTTCGGTCCGATTTTCCGGTTTAAACAGGCTAGTGCACACCCCTAATTATTATTATTATTGGGGGTGTGCACCGGTTTAAAACCGGGTCGGACCGGACTGAACCGGACCGGATATCATTCCAGTTCGATCCGGTTTCCATTTTTTCGGTCCGGTTCGGACCAGTTTTGTTGTTTAACCCGGATAGTGCACACCCCTAATTATTATTACTATTATTGTTATTGTTATTATTATTTGTAATTATAAATGAATAAAATATAATTATTTATGGATTATAATATATATGAAAAATAAAATCTTTATGCAAAAAATATATAAATAAAATTTCAGACCAGACCAGACCAGACCAGACCAAAACATACCAGCCCAGACCAGACCAGACCAAACCAGACCAGCAAATTACAGCCCAAGTAAAAACATCCTAAGTCTTAACTTTTAAATGATTTTATAATAAGTTTTTCTCTGCAAAGTTAACATGTACACAGTTTTCATGAAAATGTGGAGAAAAACTTATTAAACATGTTAAAAATCGTAAAAGATTAATTACATGATTATGTAATGTGATCAGAAGCAACTAAATAAATAAGTGAAATAAATGTAATTCGTTGAGTAATGTGAAGTTTTATAAAAGAATTAGGTCACACCTTTCCACTTTACTTTTTATTTTTTTTTTGCAAAAAAATTATTTTTATTAAATAAAAACCTCAAAAAGAAGAGAATAATCAACAAATTCGGTCTCTTTAAGATTCATTGTTATATTACACAGGTCAATGAGTAAAAATAATTATCATTACACAATTGTTACACTCATTGTTAAATGTGGTTATAAGTAGGGGAAAGCTCAACCTGAACCCACCTAAGAACCCGATCGGGTATGCCCTCAATTAGCCAACTGAGTCGGTTGACCCCGAACCCAAGTATCTGAACCGAAACAGCCTATCCCATGTTTTAAGGGTAATGGGTTACGGGTAGGGTATTAGAAAAGCCTACCCGACCCACCCAAAAACCCAAACTGTCATATGTATATAAACTGCTTAATTAACTCTAACCCTACCACTTCACTCTTCACTCGCAACTCTCTCTCCCCTACTCCAACCTCTCTCTAACCAGTGATCCACTCGTCCATTCACCTTTTACCATTCTCCGGTAGTCCGTTTGTCCCATCGGGTGGTTCGACCTCCGTAGTCCGTACGTAACCGCCAATCCGCCATAGCCTATCTGCCTTGTCGAAACTGTGGGATCCTATTATAGCCTACCAGTCCTACGCATTTACGAATCTAGATCGCTATTGTGGTCTTGTAGATTTGTGGAAGCTTGCAACTCATTCGAATATCTTAATTCTTACTGAGGTATAAACGTTAAATACTTAAATTGTATGCTTGGTCCGCTTGGAATATGTCTTATGGTTTTTGTATATGAATTACCTGTGCTATTTTGATGCACTCTAATGTGTTTGGTGGAAGCTTGAAACCCTAGATCCGGCATGTGAAACCCTTTGTATGAACTACCTGTTAATCTGTGTTGCTTTGGCCATGCCTGTGAAACCCTTTGTATGAACTACCTGTTAACCTGTGATGCTTTGGCCATGCCTGTGAATCTATGGTTCTGAGATTTTGATATAAATGCTCTCTGAATATGTGATGCCTCGATGATGCCTGTGTGATTCTGAGATATTGATATGAATTACTTTTGAAGCCTCAGTGATGCATGTGAATATGTGATTCATAGTTTTTGAGTGAAATTTGCCTATTTCTCTGATATATCATATATGTGTGTAAATTGTAACGTGGAGACAAATCAGAATTATGATGCTTTCATACAAATATTTTGTATATTCTTTTCTGATAATTGGTGAATACAATTTGCTGAGTAATGATGATGGTAGATTTATTGTGACAAGTGTTGAGGTTACCATTTTCTACTCAAACACTCAAACGAGTAGTTAGAGTGAGCTTGTATCTTCTAAGTCTGTAGAGAAGTGAATAAGCTTATTGCTTATATCCTTCTGTAGATCAGCTTGCTGGTTGTTCCAGACTTTATTGTGAATGTATGATGTTGTGTTCAACCTGTGATGCTTTGGTCATGCCTGAGAATCTGTGATTCTGATATTTTGAGTGGAAGCTTCCTATTTCTCTTATATATGTGTAAATTGTAATGTGGAGCCATCAGATTTATGATGCTTTCATGCAAATATTTTGTATATTCTGAATTTCTGATTATTGGTGAATACAATTTGCTGAGTAAAGTAATGGTTGATTTATTCTGACAAGCATTGAAGTTACCTTTTTCTACTCAAACACTGAAACGAGTAGTTGGAGTGAACTCACATCTTCTAAGTCTGTAGAGAAGTGAATAAGCCTACTGCTTATATCCTTATGTAGATCAGCTTGCTGATTGTTCCAGACTTTATTTTGAATGTGTGATGTTGTGTTCAATCTGTTGATTGCATTGAGATTTTTGAACTGTATATATATTTATCAGAATGGAAGTTGAATGTTTGGATATCATGCATGCATTTGTTCTCAACCTCCTTTGACTCCTATTTCCCAAGAACCTGTGGTGGAAGCTCATGATGACGGAGCTAACACCGGCACACAACAAACAAACGTTCTTGTAAATAAGCGAAAGGGGGTAGAGTCCAGATCTAAAATATGGGATCAGTTTGTTAAGATCAAAGATAATAATGGTGTTGTTGTCAAAGGAAAATGCATACATTGTGGTAAAATATATTGTTGTCAGTCTATGAAGCACGACACTTCCTCTCTTAGAAATCACATACTCAAAATGCCTTGCTCCAAGGATGCTAGGCAAGCCCTTCTCACTTTCCAACCAATCTTGTGTAATTCCAACATATGAAAATAGTGGGGTGTCAGGGACTTGAGTGTTTGATGAGGATGCATCCCTGACTCTCTGAACAGAACCATCACTTTCTTTGGACGGAGGTGGTATTAATTATCTTTGTGAATCTTGAATTGGGAGAACCCAAATTGTGCTATACAATATTTAATTGAGTTATGTTCAATTGTTTGGTATGTTCAAGCACCGTTAATGTTAAGTCTTCCCTATTGATAATTAACATGGAGTTCAATTTTTAATAATTAAAATTTACATATTTAGAAACAACATTAAAATCTCTTTATAGTTGTAAAATCCAAATTAGAATCTACGTACTTTTTTTGAAAGGCCAAATAAGAATATACGGAGTAATTAAAAAGTGATATTCTAATTAAGTGAATAAAAAAAACTATTTGACCAAAAACAGGTTGACATTGCAAATAAACTTTGGACTGAGGTAGTATGTAATATGAAAAATTGATAGATTATGTGAATTTTGGGAGGATGGTTAAACTTTATTGTTCCCTTAAACACTTGAAAAAAGTGGGATTGTTTGGTATTGGTATGACATGGTATCGTTCCATTTGAAAATGGAACCGTACCGAACGAGTTTAGGTATAAGACTGAACCGTATCAAACTGTTTCAATAGTCACGGTACGGGTACGGGTTCGGCAAAATATTGGACCGGACCGGACCAGACCGTGCCCACCCCTAGTGCCCTAGCGGTACTGACCCGAGTTTGTACCGCGACCGGGCTACCTGAGCAGGCTTCAGGACGGGACTGGGTGGGGTCAAGCCAAACAATTCCAAGCCCAATTTTTTTTTTGGAATTCTTGTCCTTTCGGTCCGGCCAAGCCGGTCCACTAAAATCAAAGCCCGGTACCACTTGCTTCTTCCTCCGGGTCAGGCCCCAGGCTTAGTCCCAATCCTGGTCAACCGACCGGGTCAAGCCTATACAGGATAGGGTCAAGCTAGATCCCGGGTTGGGCTGACCCATTCAAGCCCACCCCTATTTTAGACAACCCCATCATTGCATATTTTGACCATATGAAGAATGTGATTCCTCCAATCTTTCCAAAATTATACTTCGATAGTATACGATAATCTTTGTTTTCAACTTATCAATTTGTCAGCAAACTGTTTTGGTAAAATGTAACTTTTAATTTTGACATGAGGTTTTCCTTAATTTAATAATGAAATATATTTTAAATGTAATTTTTTCATAATTTAATAGATTGAGCCAATTCAAATGGTTCAACTGTTCAACCAACACTTCTGCAAATTCAGTTGATTTAGCCAATGCCAAATATCTGTCAGTAATATTCTGATTCCATGAAGCTTAACTAACAAAACAAAAATTTATTGACAAAAAACAGGAGCAAGAGAGAAATCATCTAACAATTAGAGCAGCCTCAACACTACATGTATGTTTTTAGGGGAGAGATGCACTTTTCATGACATAAAGGCTCTAGCATCATATTAAATCAACAAGAACGCCAGTGAGAGATGTAATTTGCACTCTAGAGTATCCCAGAACATGCCGGCTCTTCAAATATACACCAGTAGCATGAAAAACTCGGCTGTGTTCCATTTAGTATTCTACCCTCTTCGATGCACGAGATATATACCGAATGACATCTCCCTATGTCATGTAGACATGCATTAAAGGGTGTGAGATACAAGATGACACACTAAATGGGATAAAGAACCTCAACCCGAAAAGCTCACCTCGACCAATTAAAGTCATTCATTATGCAAAAGTTGAGCATTGAGAGTTTTCTGTGCAGCTTTGAGCATCAGCAAGAATTGTTCAAGTTTTTGTATTTGAGCGTCAGCAACTTCACATACCTTCATGCACCCCTGCTTGTACACATAAAGTTCAAGATTTAACATGTCATGTTAGCTAGTATCTTTGTGATGCTTCCAGCTTTTTCATAACAAACTAGAATATGTGATTTTACTGCAATCGAAATACCAACATCTATCGCTGCATCTAGAGCCTTCTTCCTTGCCCTTGTATTTGCAATTCTAATATCTATATTTTTTGCGATGAGAACCTACACAAAAGCACAGTTCTTAGTAAACAAGATTAACAAGAGGGGGTCTTTTATGGGATTGTTTGGTTTAGATATTTTGGAGGGGAAAGGGAAGGGGTGATATTTATTTATTTTTTAAATTATCTCTACATTAAGAAAGTTGGATATAATGTGAAGATAAAAGTAACAAATGCATATAGATTACATGGCTTAGCTCATCGCATTGTTAATTCAAGTCTAAATAAAACTAACAAATACATACTACGTATAAATTAGTAAGAGAACAGAATGTGACAGGATAAAATATTGTAGTACCACTCTTGCACGGAGCATATCTCTTTTAAGGTCCTTGTGAGCCCCATTCAGCATTTCTGCATACTACAAATCTATGCATGTTTAGCACATTATATTTAAGCCAGAGCCAGTGGATGATTAGAATGTGAACCAGAACCAAAATTAAAACCAAAAGCAAAGCAAACCAAGCATGAGAAACCAAACCAAATTAAAGGAACACATACATCAGTTATTTTGTCAGTAGCGCTCCAATTTGCTGCCCCTACACAAGTACACAACAAGCCAGTAGGTAGCCAAAACGACTCGTGGATAAAGGACAGCTTTATATCATCAAATGTCACAACTTTCAAAATGTCTCTATCATCTGCAAGTTCCTTAAACAGTCTGCAGCTATATGAACAAGTTCATCATAATCAGATGCAATGAACATTAATTTGGCACTTCGGCATGGAAATAGCATTCAACTCTCATCAACTTTTTCTTATAGAAAAATACTCACACAGATATTGCTCTGCAGAAGCTCTTGGCTCCATCAGATGATTTTGCTACATGATAAATTACATGTTTCAATACATCATAGTTCAGATCAGTTATTTTTAGCTGTCTTCTCTTCATAGCCCTGAAAGCCAGTATAAAAAATGTTTAGTGTATCACACATCTTGATGTGATAAATCCAGCAAGGTCAATGCATCTGTTCAGAATTCTGCTCTTAGATTCATTTTTTCTTCGGTTCTGAGATGATAAAGCTCCAAAACTGTACGTTAATGAATGAAAAATGAAAGGAGCTGCTAAAAAACACACTCCGTATTAGTTATGCAAATGGAAAACGTCAAAAGATAGTGGTTCTTCCATCATCTAGAATTGAAGGTTAACAAATAAGAACATTCTTGGAATGCATTAAAAATATGGCTCATTTTGTCCACAAAGGACCAAACTTGTTAATAATTTCTTATTAAGAAGTGCTGGGAGGGAATGAATCAATGAATCATAGTTTCAAGAAAAGCGATGGCGCTAATTATGAAATTCCCCGAGAGTTCTGTAAACTGCAAATCGCCTTCGAATGGGATACTAGATTAAATCGATGAAATCCGGAAAATATTTAACATTCGGTTATCACCAAACTGCTGCTCTCAAGAATTGAAATTAATCAACCCCAACTAAGAGTCCCTCAAACTGAGATACAGAAATCAAGACAGTATAATAGGCATTGATACAGGGATGGATAAAAAAAAGAGTACGCACTCTTACCTGACCATGGCAACGGATATGAGAGCATATAAATAGCTTCCGCGACGGCTTTATGGGGAGGCCGGTGGCGGCTGGCCGGAAACAGACAGTCGCGTTCCACTTGTGTCTTTGTCAGTTCTCAGAGGTCAATAACATATACGAGTACTTGTATATAACGAGCTTCTGGCATCAGATACACGCCTTATTTGCTAGGTTTGCGCCACTTAAATGCAGAGTATTATTTTTCCATTTTGTTTTGTGATTTGAATAGTTCATGGGTTACCTTTAGAGTGGGTCGGGCTTTAAAAGGTTATGGGTATAGAATTTTAGAAACACGTGGAAATTTCACATATGGGCTGCTGTAGCCCATTATATTTTGCTTCACTAAGATTGTGACATAACCTATTTACCACGATGTATTATTTACGGGGAATTTTTCAGAAATAGTCTCAAAAGTCAAAATAATATCACTTTTTTCATTTTTGAAATTTCTTTTCAAAAATAGACTAATCAAGATTTTATTTCAATAATAGACTCTATCACTCTAAGGCTTCATTCGGTGGCATTAAAACTTTAACCTTTGTACCGTTAGTATCCTAACCTCTAAGCTGTTAGTTTCCTTTTCTGGGAGTTAGTAGGTTACTGTTAGTAGGCTATCTCTTACTCAGTTCATGTTTTTAAATAGAAAAAATGTAAATATTTGGTAAAATGTAAAAAAAATGTAGATTATTAGAAAATAATAAGTATTAAAATTAGATAAAATAAAAAGCAATAAATTAAACAAAATAAGAAATCAAATAATGCATAATAAAAAATCGAAGTAGAATATTTGTAAGATAAATTTGAAAAAATGGAATTTAAAGTAAAAAAATAAATCAGAAAAATGTTACAAACATATAGAAAACTTGGAAATACAAAATTCAAAAGTAAAAAATGTGAAAGGATAAAATAGTTTATAAAGTGGAAAAATTGTAGAAAAGTAACAATTTTTTGTAACTTTATTTTTTAGAAGACTTCATATACCCTCAAATTTATATAAAAATACTAAAACAATAAAAAACACAAATAACTAAAATGATATAAAATTGATTTAAAACAGAAATGCAAATATATAAATAAAGACATTAAAGAATAAAACGTTAAAAAGTTCTCAAAAAATGAAAAGGTAAAGTTAAGCTCTAAAATATATAAACTGTTAATATATATATATATATATAAGTGGTTTAAAAAAATTAAAAATTATCATAGGAAATAAGAAACTTTCTTGAAACAGTTACTATTTTAGGAACCGAAATATATACAAAGTAAAAAAAATTATAAATTCAATAAATGAATATATAATTTTATTGTTTTTGTTGTTGTTGTTTGTTTCCTTTTGTTGCATATTGTTTCTTTTTGTTTCCTTTTGTTGCATATTGTTTCTTTTTGTTTCGTTTTGTTGCATATTGTTTCTTTTTGTTTCCTTTTGTTGATAACTATGAATTTTGTTTTTTATTGTTTTATAAATTTAAATTTATCATTTTTGATGATTTAATATAAATCTATATATATATATATATATATATATATATATATATTTACTTCAAAGAAGTATCAAAGATAAATAAAAACCTACATAAACAACAAAAATCAAGAGCAACAATAAAATAAAAATAAGTAATAAAATGCAACAAAATGCAACACGATGTAACAAAGAAAAACAGAATGCAACAAAAGCAACACGTTTAGTACAACAAAAAGCAACAAAAACAATATATATAAATATCACATCAATTATATAATTCAATCTAGTATTTCAATGTATTACATGTATGTATTATATAATTTGGCTTTCCTTCACTTCCTTTGATGCATCTTAGTAATAAACTAACAATTCTTTAAGGTTGAATATCTTCTATTCTCTTCACAAAATGCAACACAACACAACAAAAAGTAACATATTGTTGCAACAAAGAGCAACAACATTTTTTACATGCAAACAAATTAGTTTGCATTAGGGTGGAATAAGGTGATCAACCATGGACCAATTCAAAAGACGGCGTAGAACGGCCAATAGAAAAATAAGCACTCTAAGCATATTCAAACTGCATATGGCAAGACGAGTAACCTGTTTGGGTTTACACTTAACAAGCCTCTACACAGAGAGACAAATGCTCAAAGCCATCTATCATGCCCTATGGTATAACACATTAACACCAATGAAGATATTTCTTCTAAAGGAATCAATAGGTAACAAATACTCGCTATTGAAACTCAGGGTGGCAATTCAGATTTCAGAGGACAAAAAGCAAAGAGTCAACAACTGCATAATCTTACCGTCATGTACACTACACATTCATTGAGGGTTAGCACTCTAAGCAAAACAAGCTCTTGCTGCTTCAGAAAACCCTAAAATACAAGAGGAAATCAGCACAGATGTCCAAGAAGATGAGCTACGGTCCGTGCACCTTTTGCTGATCCAGGAGGTACTTGTCCCGACCACTTTCTCTTTTCTATAGTTTTAGATGCATTGGAACCTTGTAAAAAACAAAAATGAAATTGTAATAGCCTTATTATCATGTACCAAAACAAGTTTAAGTTGGAACGTGGAATCCAACAATATTTTTTTTTTAATTCTCAAAACATACAGAGATTCCATAATAGATGTTGCAAACAAACAAAAAGATGATGCAGTTGGGCCTTCTTGCTGCTCAGCTTGAGCTAATAACTTTAATCTCAAGAATATTGCTGATAATCCCATACACTTAGTTCCTATCATATCGGTGACAACTGTAGAACAGAGCTTTGATAACTTTCAAACGGGTTAAGCAGCAGCCTAGCAGCAAGAGGGTCCTTCACAACTTGTCCTACAGTGGCTTGTTTCACTCATGATTACAAATAACAAGTACAAGAATCATCAACAATGTGATCTTTGCTTTTTTTGTCAAAAATGAGTTGATATTACAAATTCATTGAGCATATAATAAGTTTGTCAATGACATCTCATAAAACAGTGAATAGAACATCTCATTGAACCTTATTTTTACAATAAAACAGTCACATAACATCTCGCTAATGAACCTGCAAGCTGTATTCAAATTTACAACCCTTTATAAGATTAAATATGCCAAAATGCACAAGTAAACTTTAAATAGCGGCCGCTATATAGTTTTTTTTAAACAATGATGATAAACGATGGTCAATGATAACACTCAATTTCTTTTGTGCTGATTTGGGATTAAGATCCGAAAGAGACGAAGATGCATTTTTCTATCTGTGCAAACACCGACGAACCTATTCAACGTCATGACATGGAAGATCTTTTTTTGAAATTATGATGGCCTTTTTATTCAAATATTACTAAAAAGAATGAAAAAGACAAAAATGTGTTCCGTTTTAAATTTTTCCAAAAAGTGACTAAAAGTCATTTAATCCTATTATTTAATAATACATTTATTATTTTAATAATATTTCTTTGTAGCCACCAGCACCGCTGACCCCGCCTCCGCCGCCACCGCCTCCGCCACCGCCGTTGCTCCGGTCATAGTGACTCCGGCCAAAGTGACTCTGGCGTCACAGTGATTGCCCCACAGACCAGTGACTGTCCAACCAATCACAGTGACTACGCCCAAAGTGACTCTGGCGTCACAGTGACTGCCCCACGGACAAAAGTCACTGTCCAACCGGCCACAGTGACTGCCCGCCGGCCACAGTGCCGCCGCCGACCACCGCCCCACCCCCAGTCACCTCCACGATCCCTCCCTAGCCCCAAGCCAACTCCCCAATCCCCAAAGCCGCCACCCAACCATGTCCCTCCCCTACTTCTCCCAGCACCCTCAGCCCATCCCCAGCCAACACCTTTCTGGTGTCACCGCGGACCATCACCGTGAACAGCCGCACCGACCACCGCCTCATCTTCGAACAGTCCAACCCAGCTAATCTCCAACCCTCTCCAGTCCCATCCCAGCCCGATCTAGCCCCGGCCAGCCTCTATACAACCGATCTATCACCCCTACACTCCGCGCGCAACTCCTGCACACCTGCAACGGAAGCGGCAGAGCTGCGAGACGAAATCGACGCTGCCTTAAAGCCCCAATTGCCGCCCTAGCCGCCTCTCGTTAGCTTGGTCGCGCCGCTGCGTCGAATCCCTAGCCATACTGCCACATCAGTCACGAACTCAAGGTACAACGAGATCGGAGGAGTAGAAGAAGAAAAGTTAGAGACAGATGTGGCGTTGCCGGTGTGGACGGCTTGCAGGTGGCGTCGTGGGCTCGGCGGCGGCGGATTTCCAGAAGAGAGAGCAGATTGTGAGAAGAGAGGGGGGAAAGGGGCGGAACTTAGGAGGCAGAGAGTTTGCTTAGATCTGCGATGCGTAGAGGAGCGAACAGGAGAAGGGCACGGTAGTTTTGAGTCATATTTTTGGAAAAGGGAAAATGGGTCATAGTTTTGGGGGAGAACTATCAAATAAGCTTTCGAACTTTCCTAAAAAATGCAAATAAACCCTTTTATAGGAGGTTCTGTCCGGCCGTCACTATTTGGGGCAGTTTTTGGTGGAGTTTTTTAATAATTTTTTTTGAGCACCTTCTTCATTAAGTCTAGTTTAGTCATACCAAATTTCAGCTAACAGTTCAACCGAGAAGGCAGTCAAATGAATTTTTGAAGATAAATGCGCAGTTAGACAACGCAGTATATTTAAGAAAATCATTTGACTGCCTTCTCGATTGAATTTTTAGCTGGAATTTAGTACGGGTAAACTAGACTTAATGAAGAAGTTTCTCAAAAAAGTTCATCAAAAAATTCCACTGGAAACCTCCACAAATGGGGACAACCGGACAAAACCTCCTATAAAAAGACTTATTTGCACTTTTTATGAAAGTTCGAGAACTTATTTGATAGTTCTCCCTAGTTTTAGAAATGCAAAGCCCATTAGTTATTTTCATGCCATTTTTTCAATTATGATTGAAAAGGCGGGACTATCATCAAAAGTTATTAAAGGATCCAACATCCGAGTTAATTTATTAACAAAATATGAGGGTCAATTTAACAATTTTTTCGAAAGAAAATAAAGAAATAGGTAAAGCAAAAGGTCTTTTGGCCTGGATATTACGGAGTATTAAAAATAGGATAAAAGACAAAAAAGTGACATGTTTTTAAAAATTCCCAAAATGTGATCAACATCATAATTCGTGCATAGTGACTCCCGCCAAAGTGACCCCACCGGCCATAGTGACTGACCCACCGGTCATAGAGACTGCCGCACCAGC